AGTGTGACGTACGTACAGACGGACCCATTTTAATAGTCCCCTGCTTTCTTTGAAAGGTGGGGCTCAATAAAACAAAAATAGACAAAAGACTGTATAAATTGAATTACTTTAGGCCCCCAAGCACCCCTAAGACATTTGATTTTGATTACGGAAAGTAACATATCGGAAATCGTAGACAAAAAACGTAAGGATTGATCAGTACGGCGAGCGAAGCAAGGTAGATATATCATATATCAAAAATATCATACCCTCACTGTATCATCATGTTAATCCTCATAAATACATATCTATAACTGGTGAAATGTGCACAGTAAAAAATGATTGATATAAAAGCAAGCTTCAGAATAGTGAGCAAAGCAAGTAAACCATACATGTGTATATAGCAGAAAAATGGTCTAAAACTACACAGCTTCACAAAAATATAATTAAACACACACCTACAACGACAACAGTAAAATATATGAGAAATCCATCAAGGCAGTAATAACTTTAGCTTTCATAATGTCCAAAACATTTTTCAACTGGTTAAATAGACAAAAAGACTGTATAAATTAAATTACTTTAGCACCTAAAGCGTCCACAAGATATTCGATTTTGATTACGGAAAGTAACATATCAGAAATCCTAGAGACTGTCTTGATGGGGAAAAAAAGCTTTGTAAGGATTGATCAGTACGGCGAGCGAAGCAAGGTAGATATATCAAATATTAAAAATATCATACCCTCACTGTATCATCATGTTAATCCTTGTATATACTGTGCATACATACATGAAGGGAAAGTGTGTAGAGCACAAAAATGATTAAAATAAAAGCAAGCTTCGGTAGAGCACAAAAATGATTAAAATAAAAGCAAGCTTCGGCAAAGTGAGCAAAGCAAGTAAACCATATGCCATGAATCATAGCTTCACAATATTTACTAGGTAGGTTGTCACACAAAAACCATGAAACAAATGCCCACAACAGCTATGTCGTTCGAACATTACATGAAGGTTATTGCACTTGGATAACTTTAGAGCATCAACAACATTTTCCAACTTGACGAAAGAAAATAATTATGTAATTATCAAAAAATGCTAGTCAAAGCTTTTTGAGAATTAATCAGTACGGCGAGCGAAGCAAGGTAGATATATCATATATCAAAAATATCATACCCTCACTGTATCATGTTAATCCTCATGTGTGTTGTATTTAGTGAAATGTTTGAAAACTAATAAGCTTCTTTCTCATGAACATAACCACTATATGAAGTTCAAATGTGGTTTGGCTCAGTGAGTGAGATGTTGGCTTTAAATTTATTTATCCTCGAGATCCCACGTTCGATCCCAGGATTTTCCGGTGTGGTTCACCCTTGTCAGTGGTGCAGGTCGGAGGACCTGGCAAGGGAGAGAGAGAGAAATGGGGTTTAACGTCCACTCGACACAAACTAGGTCATTTCGGGACTAACATATGGTTTAATTTTATATACATATTTCGCTTGCGCGTAGGGGTCTTTAGCAGTGGGAGGAAACCGGAGGCCCCGGAGAAAACCCACGAGGTTGGACAGGCGACCCTACTCCTTGTCACGTACAACCGGGGATTCGAAACCACGCCAGTCGACTCAATGACAGACTTTATGATACAGCGCGCGCACGCTAACCATTCAGCCATCCAACCCCCCGACCTGGCAAGGGAAACGTATAGTTGTTCAGATGGTACAAAAGAACCTGAAGTCACATGTACACATTAAAGTGCAAAATCAAAGCATTTGTATAAACAATTCAGCAAGAAATTGAATAGGGATAATTCTAAAGGTATTGGTCGGGTGGAAAAGTGACCGAGAAGTCACGCGACGTAAACAAAGCTCTTTATGGGCATTAGCTAACTTTGTGGAATGAACACTTAGGATTTTATAACAGTATTTATTGCTTTTTATTCATAATTAAGTAATAAAATATCGTAAATAACATAAAAAAAAAGACATTTTTTAAAAAATCATCCAGAAAAATCAAAACCGCCATAAATCGCGGTATGTTCGGTTTTTCTATATTTTTCTGAAGACAGTATTTTTGATGGTTTTTATTTCTGTGACGGTTTTATATCGAAAAAAACCCCCGAAATATCGCTCAGCTCTAATGTTAAATCCCGTTTCATTTCAAAAATGGGTGTATAAAAATCAAATTCATAATTAATAAGTATACTTTTTGTCATCTAAAGTATTGAACTGGGTTGATTCGATGTGTTATTTCAATTAGTGACAAGCTCTATTAGTGCGATTTTTATGTACCTTGGTAACATTAATAATTTACCACAATGACTGCGGTTTTATTTCTTTTTAAACTGGTGATTGAAATAAAGTGAGAAAGGCAAGTAAACCATATACAATGAAACACAAAATAAATATATTGCTTTACAACATTTGAAATAATTTAAAAGCTAGGATGCCAGGCAACTAAACTTGAAATGAGGTTTGACATTGTACTTTTCTGCCAATTCTTTGAATTTCTACTACCAAGGCTTCTTTTAAATGCACGCCAATATGCAACCCCAGTGTTTAAGTCCCATACAAACGACTAGATGATTTTCCTTGCCAGCCCCCCCCCACCTCACCACCACTGACAAGGAAAAACCAATCTGTAAAATCTCAAAGGCAAGAATCGAAACCAGGATCTTCTGGTTGTGAGCCAGCGCCTTACTCATGGCTCCCAAGACATATGTTCACTTCAACCAAGTAGGGCTAACAATCGATACCTATTTTGAATATCGATATCGGCAACCATTTCGGCAATATCGGTATCGTAAAATTTGAAGTTGAAAGAAATAACTGGTTGTATGCTAATAATGCATTCAAATGTGTTATTGATGAAATAAAAAAAGAAACTATGATCCTCAAACTATGTTTTCTTAATGTTTGTTTCGTTGACAGCTTATCTTATATTAGTATTATGAACAAAATAGTAATCGCAGCTTTGCGCTCGCCATCAATTGCTGTTAACGATTTTCCTCTGCCGCTTATAACAATAAATACATTTCTATTAAAATTGAGTTATTTCCCCTGAACACTTAATTAATTATTCATTGTCGTTGTAAATGACCCAAAAAATTACCGGTGCGGTGGATGTACTTCGCTTAGTGTGTGTGTTTTTAGTTTTAGCGTGTTTTGAATGCTATCAAAAACTGAATATTGATATTTTTCCGTAGTCGCCGACGATTATCGGCTATATCGATATTTTTCGCCAGCCCTACAACCAAGTCATCTGGACAGTCCATCAGAGTGGTTGTATTTGGAAATATTTAGCCTATAGGCCGTACACAATGTACTTGACCTTAACCAAGAGCGACAACTCAAAAAGGATTAATCAGTACGGCGAGCGAAGCAAGGTAGATATATCATATATCAAAAATATCATACCCTCACTGTATCATCATGTTAATCCTCATAAATACACATTTATAACTGGTGAAATGTGCACAGTAAAAGCAAGCTTCAAAATAGTGAGCCAAGCAAGTAAACCATATAGCAGAAAAATGGATTCAAACTACACAACTCCACAAAAGTATAATTTAACATACGCCTACAATAGTAAGACATCTGAGAAATCCATCAAGGCAGTAATAACTTTAGCTTTCATAATGTTCAAAACATTTTTTCAATTTTCGACCTCTATCAAGGCATCGACCTAATAAACACCTACACCAAGTTTGAACATTCTAGCTCAATTAGGAGAGTTATTTTGAAAGGCGGTGGAGGGGGGGGAAGGAGACAAAAAAACAAAAATAGACAAAAGACTGCATAAATTGAATTACTTTATGCCCCCAAGCCATTTGATTTTGATTACGGAAAGTAATAGTGTTGAAAATCGGATCGAAATTTGTGATCCGAATACTTTTGTTGGCTATCCGAATACTATTCGGATAATTTGGAGACGTGAAATTCTTGAACACAATTACATCAAAAGTTCATATACCGGTACTCATAATTTCTTACTTGCAGGGCTCGACACTGCCGGCGGCCATGGCCTTCGAATTTTAGAATTTGGCCGCAGATTCGTGGCCGATTTTTAACTGTCCACGGCCATGTATGGTCGCCGATTAGTGCTGGGTATCGAGAGTTATTTTTACTATCGATAATCGGTATCGAAACAATCTTATTTTCACGATTGTAATGAAGAATGGATTACGTGTTTTAAAGTCAAACCATACGATGTTTTTGTTCGTCTAATAATAAACTGTCTCATATTACGTATAAATTGTTTAAATAATGTAGCCTTGGTTCCAAATGACGAAATACCATTGATAGGCCTATGTATGTGCAGGAACCAAAATAAAATGAGCACGAGTCGATTCAAAACATTGCGTACGTGAGCGCGACAAATACCAACATGGTGAACAAATCGTTGTTGATTCGTGTGCAAAAACTAAAGAAAATGTAATAGCCTAAAGAGCTTGTTATCACGAATTCTTAAATTGTTTATTATTATTAAAAAAATACAGCCTTGATTCCGAAAGAAATACAAACGTTTTTGTCATCCATCATTGCTATGTCATTTATAATGAGCAGACGAATTCTGAAAGGGGAAAAACTCTGAATTATTTACACATCCGGGTATCTCCAATTTAACGAATTCCATGATATGGCGATTATTGTTTCAAACTAAAGTATTGTTTAAATGTGGGTGAATTTATTTTAACATTTTTTTTAAAAAGCTAAATTGAGATTGAGACTTTGAAGTAAATATAAAGTGACCGATGTAGGCTTTTGTATTATATATATACGAAGGATTAAGTCACAGAAAACGTCGAGTCGACTCCTACGCACGCACGAAAAATAGACGAAGAGAACGATAACGGTACTCGATAGTGCTTTTTGGCATATCTTATCGATACTCTTGATATTTTACCCAGCTCTACTGATGATATATAGCAATACTTTCAACTCTCAATATGGCTACATGCCGATTTTTTAAATATTTTTTAGAATAAAAAAATTGTACTAAAAACGGTACGATAAGAATTTTCTCCCTTAACTCAATAACTGTAAGGATGCATTATTTTTGTAAAAGTAATAAAAATATTGAACGTGATGTGATAGGCAGGTCTGTAACAACATTTTGACTGAGAAACAAGATCTACAATAAACAGATTTACATATGATCAACATATTAAAACCTTCTAAATAAGCTGATAATATACTCATGACATAAAAATTGGCCTTGGATTTTCAATTTTTGGCCTTGGATCAAGGTTGCACTTTGGCCTATCGTAGGCCAAAGTTGGCCTTCGATCGAAAAAACGAATTTCGAGCCCTGCTTACTTGTTTCAATGTTTATGAGTGTCTGTATGCCGAGTATGAAATCGTACTTTCGATTTGCAAATTGTTTGAGCCGCGAAGAAAAAAACGTGCCTACCTTTAGCCGTAATTATTAAGATTATCCATGACATCGGTCTGACATCCCAAAAAATCAATGAGGTGAAGGAATTTGTATAGTATAATTACTCCTGTTATCCGCACCCTCCCACTTATCATTTTGCTCAATCAACACGAAAGAAAAAAGTAAAATAAAACCAAGTGCCATTTATTTTGGCAAGGTCGTTTGCCTCATTCTGATAATCTACTACTATTGAACCAATCAGTGAGTGGGAATATACGTGACCTAGGTCGTTATGAATAAATTTCATTGTGGGAAGTCAAAACACGGTCTAAACTTGTATGCCGTAAACTAGCGCAGGGAATGAATGAATATTTTTTTTATTTAGACTACTGTTTTTCGTTGCACTGCATTAATAATTTTATCAGTTACTATCACTAAATAATACGCATAATGTTGACAATTATGCTCATAGAGCTGTGTACGTGATCAATTGCATTGGGGAAAATTTCAAAGTGATCAGACGTAAAAATGGCTAAATAAAGAGCATACGGAATGTCAGAATATATTGTAACGAATAGTAAACGAATAGTAAAATGATTCGGATAACCCCTACTTTGTATCCGTTAACGAATATCCGAATAGTAGTTTCAACACTAGAAAGTAACATATCGGAAATCATAGAGACTGAATGGGTCTTGCCTTAATGGAAAAAAAAACTTTGTAAGGATTGATCAGTACGGCGAGCGAAGCAAGGTAGATATATCATATATCAAAAATATCATACCCTCACTGTATCATCATGTTAATCCTCATAAATACACATTTATAACTGGTGAAATGTGTTTTATTTTTTCTTAAACTGTGAAAGTTGGTAATAAAGCAGGGCAGGGGAATAAAGCCGGTAATAAAGCTGGGCAGGGGAATAAAGCCAGGCAATGGAATAAAGCCAGACAATGGAATAAACAGAAATAACCCAGTCAATCCTCTGCGACATACCTGGCTTTTTGGGCATGGGTCGTCTAACAACATATTGTCTAACGTCATCATCTTTGCTAAGGTTGAACAGTTTTCTGATTTTACTGGCTCTTTTAGGACCTAATCTACGTGGGATGGTAGTGTCGGTTAAACCAGGAATTTCTTGTTCTCCTAAAAAACAATAATCACATAACATATAAATAATGAAATTAATATAGTTATAAAATCTTGTCAAAACAATACAGAAACTAAAAGTTCATATATTCTTTGTCAATATTTGTGCATTTCTGGGAGAGAATTTGCCCAGAACAGAAACTTATCTTTCTTTAGAAGTAGGCATAGGCTTACAGGACACTGATATATTTTAAGGCCGTGTTGAATTGATTCCTTGTTTCTCCTCGCCCGCGCGCTTAGGTCGAGGACCCCGAAAATCATGCGCTTACGTTTTTAACACAAAAAAAAAATATTCAAAAAATTACGTTAATAACATCTAAATAAAATTCTACCAAACATCAGAAGTCAATTCTCGTTGTTTATTCCTCGTTACGAACTAAATAAGTGCAGGGGGCCGCACTACACGCAAAACAAAAATCTACAAGATAAACCTGCGGACAAGACAGAAAATAGGCATTGCACCGAATAAACAAATATCAAATCAAGTGAATGGATCCGGTTGATAATACACATGTAGGGGCCCGCATACTATGGAATAAGTTACACTGTATATGATTGGATGAATTCCGCAAAATAGCGCGTGGAGCAGTCATTTCGGCTAATGAGAAAGCATATTATAAACTGTAAGACAGTCGCTAATATTCAACCGCGAACCTGAATAATCAATTTTTTCATTGGCTAAAAGTATAACACGTCATTATTATTCAAGTATTACCCAATCATATCTTGTGTAATAAATAACACACGTGTTACAAAATGGTGAGCTATGTCGGGACATAGGTAAATTCGCGTACCGGTCGGCCTAATTTATTGATGTTCATGGAAATAATAGTGGTCCTGTACGTTCGTTCCTGGAGTTTAACCAACGAACGAACGGGACCACTATTATTTCCTTGAAAATCAATAAATAAATTAGCCCGACCGGTACGCGAATTTACTTATCTCGACTCGACTTTGGTGGGTATTCCCAGCACTTTCACGTTCGATGATATTATCGAAACCATCTATAACTCAACAAGCGAATCAAATTTCGTCTAACTGGAATGTTTCCATTGTATTGTAACACAAGAATACGGAAAATTTATATCGAAATATGGTTATTTCATTTTTTAAAAAGTTAAACAAAGAAGCCACTTGTTACCAAATTTTAGTTTGTTATTAAATTTATTTAATTAAATATTATCTGTGTTTTTATTCTAACCAATAATATAACTAGATTATTTATAATATTATTAAAAATGGTACACAACCCTCAGACTATATTATATAGGTATTATGCCAGACCACTTTGTGTTTTGAAACCCACTTTGTGTTGTGTTTACCGCACTACCGCACATGATTGCCAGAGTGGTGGCAGGAGAAACAAGGAATCAATTCAAACTGAAAAATCCAAACAAGATTGATAGCAGGAAAGGATCTTATAGTGATGCGCAAATTGAGCATATCTATCTATGGAAACCAAATTTAAGAAAACATTTATGATGTTCTCTTTGCCTGGACAGTGATCAAAATTCTTACCTTTCTTAATAATAATCAAAGAGAGTACGCTAAGACTGTTGTCGACAATACAACCATGTACTGACTTTCTTTTTCTCTCTCCTGTTCGTCGTGGACGATAACAGGACATACCCTTTTGGAGGAAAAGTCGTACACGTCCAGTGGTCAGAACACCTTGTTTCATAGGGAAACCCTGTTTATCATTTCCACCAGTTATTCTGAATACGTAACCCTGAAATAAGGATTTAAGTCACATACAAAACTCTGCATAAGTCGGATCCGAGTTAGGCAAAGATCCAAGTTAGCCGAAGACCAAAATTCAATCTTAGCTCGATTAGAAATAAACTGCAAGAGCCGGATAATAATTGATTCAAATGCATATTTCAAGCTTTTGTTCGTATGTACGAGGAGATAACTTCTGTTTTGTCGCCATCTTCGAAAAATGTCCTAAAATTTCCCGGAAAGTATCTCGTACAGCAGACAGCTAGTTTCAAATTTTTTCCGGGAAAATTCTATTATTGTGTCGCGTCAAATAGGCCGATTTGAGTCAAAATGATAGAGGAAAGTATTTTGGGGCTCTGTGCATGGAATACCTGCATTTTAGACCATCGGGACGAAACTAAGGGTGAAATGATTACTGCCGATCCGACATAGACAAAGAAAAAAAGCTGGAATTAGATCAAATGGATCGAACATTTTGATCTGAGTTGAGCAAAGATCCGACTTATGCCCAGAAATTTAATATGAAAAACGTGCAGTATCAAAGGGTACAAACAATCTTATCCGAGTTGAGCCAAAATCTGACTTATATGAATCCGACTTATGCGAGGTTTACAGTAATTCATTTTCTTGGTACAATACATTTAATACAAACAAGCCAATAGTGAGGCCAATGTCGCCTGCCGAAATCCCAAAATAAATAGATGACACATTAATTAATAGCACATTTATTTAGTTCAAAAGTATCAAGAAATCAAACTGATTATCAACTATACACTACACTAAGTTTCAAAGTAGAATTTTTATGATTAGTTAATTTAGTTGAAAACCAAAGTAGAATTCTTGTGAAACGAAGGTCTGACTTCGGTCGCGGAAAAAAGTATCCACTAATACCCCGAGAAATATGTTACTGTCCAACCTTGATCTTGCCAAACAACTGTTCCTGGATTACGAGTCCTTGCATCAATCATGACGTTTCGCATTGCAATTTCGTCTTCGTATGATGTAGCATATTATCAATATTGGGACATGATAATTATATTGCGATAATTTTGGTTATCACGATATACTATTTTTTTGTTATTTTTAAATAAGTCTGATGTGATAAAAATCGTCAATGATTTTATCACGATATACTGAAAAACCGGTATATCGCCAAACCCTACTTTCTATCAGTATCAAAGTTATCTTGTCCCAAAGCATTGACCAATGAAATTGCTTAGCTCTGCTTAGCTTCAGCTTGAAATGTTACACGGAACAGAAAATGCTCATTATCGAATTTAGTCAAAGTATTGATGTGATAAAACTATACACCAACTGTCCTCACTCTCACTAAATTAGAACTAAAGTTATCATGTCCCAAAGCATCAACCAATCAAATTGCTCATCTCTGCTTACCCTAAGCAGAAAATTCTCATCTTCTAACTCCATCGAAGCATTCACCTAATCAACATCTATGCCAAGTGAACGTTCTAGCTCATTAGAATGAGAGTTATTGTGTTCCAAAGTCTCGACCAATCAAAGTGCTTATCGCTCTGCTTACCCCCGAGCAGAAAATGCTCATTATCGAACTTAGTCAAGGTATTGATGTGATAAAACTATACACCAAGTGTCCTCATTCTCACTTAATTAGAACTAAAGTTATCGTGTCCCAAAGCACCAACCAATAAAACTGCTTACCCTAAGCAGAAAATTCTCATCTTCGAACTCCATCAAGGCATTCACCTAATAAACACCTACGCCAAGTGTGAACATTCTAGCTCAATTAGAATGAGAGTTACTGTGTTCCAAAGTCTCAACCAACCAAATTGCTTATTGCTCTGCTTACTTTGAGCAGAAAATGCTCATTATAAAACTTAGTCAAGGTATTGATGTAGTGGAACTATACACCAAATTTCATCACTCTCAATTAGAACTAAATTTATCATGTTTCAAAGCATCAACCAATCAAATTGCTTATCTCTGCTTACCCTAAACAGAAAATGTTCATCTTCGAAATCCATCAAAGCATTGGCCTAATAAACACCCACACCATGTTTGAACATTCTAGCTCAATGAGAAGTAGAGTTATAGTGTCAAAAAAAAGTGTGACGGACAGACAGACGAACGGACCCATTTTAATAGTCCCCTGCTTTCTTCGAAAGGCGGAGGACAAAATTTACATATGTTCATGAGAGTGAAGTGATTTTCCATTTTAAGGTGAGGGGAAAAACCTCCCCTTGGTCAACATTCAGGTGCCAGCGACGCAACTCAAAAATCAATGACTGGCGGTATACATGGACTTTGTTTATTTCATCAGCCATGACTAGCCAAACTGGTCAAATCTTATTTTAGCATTCCAGCCACCTTGGAACCATTGGAGCGCGCGTTTCTGCTGCGTGAAGTATAGTTACCACCAAAAGATCAAATCTGGATCACGTCACGATTGACCATTTAATTAATAACTAATAATAACTAATAATAATTAATAACTAACTAATAATATTCTTACGCGAGGTTTTTAAAAACAAAAAGCTGTTGCTAATTTGAGCCAGTAATGAATTAAAACTTGTTTGAACAGTTCACATGTGTTTCCTTTATATAGTGACATGTATTACAGATTGTTAGTGTTACATAAAACTTTTCGTGGTAAAGTTTTCCTCGCGACGGAGGTCTGATAATTCAAATCATCTATTTGAATAATTATCTATGGTTTATTAGCCTTTACACATACCACACTCCATACAATAGAAAAATTTGTATGCACTTAAAACCTCAAAATTAAGTTTGAAATTACACACGAATAGCCTGAATATGTTCGGATAGTGCAGAGGGATAGTCGAATACTAAAATATGTCCAGAGTTTCAACACTAAAGTTGCTACAAATGAAAGTTCACAATACTTGGCATATTTCAATTTAAATTATGTACCTTCCACTCATCACCAAGGGAATCTGCTGGTACATCTGTTGATATTCTCTTCTCAAAGAATGGTCGAAGTTTCTTTTCTTCGTCAATTTCAAATAGTTTTTGGCATCCCGTTGCCGGGTTAGCTACATTGAGCTGAAATAAGAATAAAAGAAATTTAAAGTTTAGGGTTATACAACAGATATTGGTAAAAAAAAGCAAGAATGATCTGATCAATTAATCACTGCCATCATATAGAACTAAATGAAATGCGATTTAACGTCCTACTGTTCTGCTCCGGCTGGTTATAGAACTAATATAAAAGCGGCAAAGCAAGATATAACTGTCTAATTTTTCTTACACTGGAGATAACCAGAGTGTTCACTATACATACAATATGGCTCTTTCAAGTAGGGGTTTCAGGTCAAAGTTTTAAATGACAGAAAAAAATTTTTTAAAAATATTTCATGATAATATACATAAAATGCTACCCAAAATTTTTTATTCCATCAAAATATTCTAATTAGATCCAAAGTTATGGAATCTTAAAATCCGAGATCGACGTCAATAATGTAATTAAAATGATCTATACCAGTCAATGCGTGCCATGGCACCAAAATAAGTGCTTTTCAGTCATATCTGAGTGACGTCATACACTGTATTTTCCCTTCAGAATTGATTTCTACGGCTGTAATTGTCGTAGCTCGGAGTATCACGGATCGTAACAATCACAAAAATGTTATCTATTGTTTGATTGGTTCTATGTTGAAATCCCATGGAAACTAAGGTGCAGGTTCCCCAATGAAGTGAGCCGTAGCAATGAAAAATCCCTGACCGTGCTCTATACCAGTCAATGCATGGCATGGCACCAAAATAAGTGCTTTTCAGTCATATTATCTGAGTGACGTCATACACGGTATTTTCCCTTCAGAATTGATTTCTACAGCTGTAATTGTCGTAGCTCGGAGTATCACGCATCGTAACAATCACAAAAATTTTATCTATTGTTTGATTGGTTCTATGTTGAAATCCCACGAAAACTAAGGTGCAGGTTCACCAATGAAGAGAGCCGTAGCAATGAAAAATCCCTGACCGTGTGACGTCAGAGCGTCATTTTCTCGCGAGCGTCTTCTGTACATCAGCGGTAATTTTGTTTACATTTCGATAATTTTTTAGTCTGAATCTTTTCAGATATTAAGATTGACATCAAACTATTACAATACAATTGCTAGCAGTACATTTAAATAAGATAGGTTGCCAGGCAACGAAACATACGCCCACAGCAGCTAAATCGTCCGGGCAGTCAACAAGTGTTGTCGCATATTTTTACTTCTTTCAGTAATAAAACATTTATAATACACTAAAATCTGATTAAGAGTAACAACTCATGAAGTAATTATCAGAAAATCATTAGAATTTGTTTGGTTTTTATATAGTTCTGCCCCATGTTAATGTTTAGTATACAAAACTTTTAATATCTTGGATTTAGCTGTTCAAGTCATAAAAATTCATTGAAAATCAATATTCTTGTTCGTCTCAAGCTCTTAAAACTCTGTGTATCAATCTGAAGTCAACTCCGGCAGTAATTATCGGAAATCGCTGAAAACCAATAGGCTTCTTCGTTTCATGACCTTAAACACTGTGTATAAATTTAAAGTCAATCGGATATTAACTTTGGCCTTTAGAGCGTCCACAAGATTTTTTTAAGTGATCAAGGGCCATAACTCTGGCAGTAATTATCGAAAATCGCTGAAATTGAATAGACTTCTTCGTCTCATGACCTTAAACAGTGTGTATAAATTTAAAGTCAATCGGATATTAACTTAAGCCTCTAGAGCGTCCACAAGCAATTGTGGACGGATGGACGGGGGTGACGAAAATATACGACCACATTTCAATGTGGGCGTATAAAAATAGTAATTCAAAATCGTAGATTGAAGTGGGCTATATTTCAGCCGCTGGCTGTCAGATTTCACGCTAAAGTCACGTGACCGGAAACCCCTATTTCAAGACTTTGTCATGGACTGCTTCCTGAAGTCTCTAGTCAATGTTCTTTCAACAAGAGCTTTATGTTTGGAATGGACAATGTCCATTTTGCTATTCTAGCCACTGCCGGTGTCAAAGACGCTAGAATAATTACACAGAAAAATGTTGATCCCGGACAATAAATGATTACAAGGATATCAGAATTATAATTATCTGGCAATAGATCTTGCCCTTATATAACAACAAACAAATAGGCTGAGATTATAGGTTAGTAGACTGGCTAAATCATCTGAAGTAGGCCTACGACGAGTACGGACACTAACTAAGTAGTACGGGCGGCTACCGACACTTGTAGCACGATTGATGAGCAAAATGTACCTCGATTTGCACCACTCTTATTTCATTTAACCAGTTTTCATTAGTTTTATTGATGGAATTAAAAATTTCTCTGTGTCATTTTACTGACGCAATTACGATCCACGAACTTCGAAGAAAACGACTCAACTCAACCTTCTGTCGACACACGCTTCCAAAGGAGGATCAAGTCGACAATCCGATCAATCAATACCATATTATGGTTTCCAGGTTGATATGGGGGCATTTGCAATGTAAAATGATCATTTGTCTATATATCTTTATCGATATTTTCATTATTGTTGTATTACATAGGGTGTATTTCAAGGATTTATTGTACCTTCATATTGCCAGGTATGACCAGTTGGTTGGTCTAACGGTAAAAGGACCAGAGAAGGAAACGGAAGTAGAATCTCTTATAAAATGCAAAATGAAAAATACATGATGATACTTCTATTTGGCGAAAATTCTTGCGTATTTTGTACTGAATATGTATGATAATATATTAGAATTCTTTCTAACCTAAAAAATAAATGTGAAATGTTTATTTTATATATAAAATATGAATTGTTGTTTGATTAAGCGCATTTAGCTTTGAGGTTAATTTTAAAGATGGAGGCGGGAAGCGTAAAAACAAAAATATCAAAGGTAATATTTTGTTCAATATTTATGGTGATTTATTTCTGTCGCCTTAAAAATGCACACTATATATGAACACGAGAGTTTGGAGTATACAAAAAACACAAAAATAGTTTTACTGATAACCCTAGCTGTTGGAAATCACTACGACATTTACTGTAGTCAAGTTTTCTTCAACTTCAATTTCAAAACAACCAAATGGAAACGTTGATTGATTATTAATTATTGTAATTTAATTCAATTTCGCAACACCCAACTGCAATTAAGCACATAATCCTACGTCTGGCACAAATCTAGTTCAGCTCTGAATGTAGGTCTCATTACACTCCTTGTCGAAACAGAATCGGCCCCCAGGCAATTTTACTGGTCAACTTTTTACTACTCTAACTAAACGGTCATGTGTCAGTCTCTGTAAACACATAAACAATGTAAAGGAACATTTTAGTGAGAAAATAAGACCTTGCTTACCTTGCTAGAGTCAATATGTGCAATAAAACGTGCTGTTAAAAATATGTCCCCTTCTGCTAAACGACTTGACAGAAGCTGCATTGAAATCTAAATATAGGGTAACCCACAAATTTACATAACTGGGCCATATATAATAATATATACTGAGCGCCATGGAAAACGCATCACTTTTTTTTCCCAAATATTTTAGTTTTGTATGTATAATATTATGCAGTACTATGAACTATTGTTTCACATAATGCTCCCAAACGCAAAAAATATCGGCCCGTGTGCAAAAAAAAAAATTGCACGAGATGCACATGAAAAACCCAATATTTACGTGCAGCATCGTGTGTGAGCCCTTTAAAAGCATGTTTTCAACTTAATGTGCAGTACATGAACTGTGAAACGTCAATCTGTCGTAATTTGTTGTTGGACTTACTGAAAATCAACGGAATGAAGCCATGGGAATGTCCCGGGTTGGCATGCTTACACGTGCTATTGCCAGACACTTCAATTGTCATCAGTCCACTATTGTAAGGTTGGTGGAACGTGTCGAGTTACTGGATCAACACGTGACCGTCAACGTCCTGGTCCACAATACGTTACAACCCAGGCTTAAGACCGCTACATCCGGGTCACTCATCTGCGTGACAGATTCCGCCCAGCGACTCGAACAGGTGCAGCAGTCGTCGGAAGACAAGGACCAGTAAGGCCGTGTTGAATTGATTCCTTGTTTCTCCTCGCCCGCGCGCTTAGGTCGAGGACCCCGAAAATCGTGCGCTTACGTTTCTAACACAAAAAAAAATATTCAAAAAATTACGTTAATAACATCTAAATAAAATTCTACCAAACATCAGAAGTCAATTCTCGTTGTTTATGCCTTGTTACGAACTAAATAAGTAAGTGCAGGGGGACCGCACTACACGCAAAACAAAAATCTACAAGATAAACCTGCGGACAAGACAGAAAATAAGCATAATTGCACCGAATAAACAAATATCAAATCAAGTGAATGGATCCGGTTGATAATACACATGTAGGGGCCCGCATACTATGGAATAAGTTACACTGTATTTGATTGGATGAATTACGCAAAATGGCGCGTGTGGCAGTCATTTCGGCTAATGAGAAAGCATATTATAAACTGTAAGACAGTCGCTAATATTCAACCGCGAATTATTTGATTGGATGAATTACGCAAAATGGCGCGTGTAGCAGTCATTTCGGCTAATGAGAAAGCATATTATAAACTGTAAGACAGTCGCTAATATTCAACCGCGAACCTGAATACTCAATTTTTTCATTGGCTAAAATTATAACACGTCATTATTATTCAAGTATTACCCAATCATATCTTGTGTAATAAATAACGCACGCCTTACAAAATGGTCAGCTATGCCCGGACATGGGTAAATTCGCGTACCGGTCGGCCTAATTTATTGATGTTCAAGAAAATAAGTGGTCCCGTTCGTTCGTTTCTAGAGTTTAACGAACGAACGAACGGGACCACTATTTATTTCCTTGAACATCAATAAATTAGGCCGACCGGTACGCAAATATCTTATCTCGACTCGACTTTGGTGGGTATTCCCAATCCCAGAACTTTCACGTTCGATGATATTGTCGAAACCATCTATGACTCAACAACCGAATCAAATTTCGTCTAACTGGAATGTTTCCATTGTATTGTAACACAAGAATACAGAAAATTTATAGCAAAATATGGTTATTTCATTTTTTAAAAAGTTAAACAAAGAAGACACTTGTTACCAAATTTTAGTTTGTTATTAAATTTATTCAATTAAATATTATCTGTGATTTTATTCTAACCAATAATATAACTAGATTATTTATAATATTAAAAATGGTACAGAACCCTCAGACTATATAGGTATTATGCCAGACCACTTTGTGTTTTGAAACCCACTTTGTGTTGTGTTTACCGCACTACCGCACATGATTGCCAGAGTGGTGGCAGGAGAAACAAGGAATCAATTCAACACGGCCTAAGTGCCAACACCGTAAGACGTCATCTAAGAGAAGTAGGACTCCGTGCACGACGACCGTATGTTGGAGCTATCCACAGGGATCATCACCGTCAGCGGCGTTTGATATGGGCTCAAGGACACCAGCCATGGCGAAGAGTAGACTGGCAAAGTGTGCTCTTCAGTGATGAGAGTCGCTTTCATCTTTATCACGCTGATGGCAGTCAACGTGTGTGGAGACGTCTTGGGGAACGTCTTGCAGACTGCTGCATCTTCGAAACGAATCGATGGGGTGGGGGAAGTGTAATGGTATGGGGAGGCTTCACATTTCATCACCAGACTGCCCTACACATTTGCAGGGGTCGCGTTAATGCTGTAGCCTACCGTGATGATGGCCCGTGGAGGACACACGTGCTACTGACATCTGTGTCATACTTTTGGTTTTGACCCCTCTGACTTTGTACCCTTTATTACAGATTATACATCCATAAGTGCACAAATGTGTTGTTATTGATGTGTTACCATTTGAATATTGTTCACAATAAGAAGCAAAATAAATAAGATATGTTTACAGGATCATTTTGTTATACGAAAAACTAAGTGATGCGTTTTCCATGGCGCTCAGTATATGACGAAACGAAATTTAGGTAAGCTGGGGGGAAAAATTCGAATCTTTCAAAAGTTGAGAATCTGCAGTCATTTATTGCTTTGCCCAATTACAATCAATTTTTTTTCAAAATTTCGTTCAGTCTTATATGGCCGAGTTACGTAAATTTGTGCGGGCTGCAATGATACGCTAACCTCACGATACAATATGTATCACGGTATGAACCTCACTATATGATACATATCATGGTATTTTTTCTGTCCAAGTTTAGTTAAAAAATAAAAACAAGTACATCATTTTTAATGGTGACATGTCACTTTAGCTACGGCTTTTCCATCACTGGCATTTTAAATCCAACAATAAATATTTGAAAAACCAAAAACTTCCCCATGACTTCAAATCCAAGCTGATCACCCAAAATAAGCGAAACCGATGATATTGATCTAAGTATAGTGGCAAATGGCTAGTGCTCAGAAGAGGATCTGTAAGTGTCTGTAAGTAACAAATGAAATGAAATGAGGGTTTAACATCCTACTGTTCTGCTCCTAACCTGGGCTAATGAAGAGGGGCATATGCCATACAGTGTGCTATGAGGGAAATTTTGCCCGGGCAGCGGCGCTAGGCTGACCTTAAAAATATCTTTGTTTCACCAAACCCGACCCACAATCGAGGAGAAGGGTCGGTAGGTCGGGGTTTTTTTCAGATTTTTTTTTTTTAAGAGCTAATTTGACAGCTTGATAATTTTCCGGGTGCAAACATTCGTCTTCTTTTATTGGCAAACAAATCAATGACATCGGGATTTTTCTTGATGCACGACTCGCACACAAATTGCGACAAACTCACGTTTGAAACTCCCTCAACACGTTTTTAACGATCGTGCGGGTTGTGCCTTTATTTTTCTCGAAAACGGATATTGAAAATATCGTCGTCATGTTTAAAACGACGCCCCACAGACATAGTGTCAGAATCATTTCGTGGGAATGGACGTGCTTTCGTCTGCAACCATTTTGTTGAGAAGCGACACCTATGACGCTTTCGTCTTGATCAACCAGTTTCAATAATGAATCAAACCATAGCCATAGTAAAGGGAAATAACTCTCGTGATATATTTCAGGTTGACACACAAAATAAAATAAGAAGATCGCGGAAAAGTGCAATAAAATAATTTAAGTCGGGGGTGGTTTTAGTTAGTCGGTCGCGTTAGGCGAAACAAAGATATTTTTAAGGTCAGCCCTACGGCCTACTCTTATATCGAATTCTTTTACGTGCACGCCAATGTGTACACGGGACCTCAGTTTTACGTCCCATCCAAATGACTAGACAGCTGTCCTCCTTCCTGCATCACTGACAAGGTTGAACCACGCCGCAAAATCTGAATGAACTTTCTCGGCCAATGCAGGGATCGAACACCTGACCTCCAGGCTAGCGAGCCAGTGTCTTACCCACTTAGCCATGTGATCCACCCGTAAGTATGTGGTTCGCTGCAAGCCATCATTCTTCCTTGTCACGTGAACTACAAGCGGACATACATGTAACTGTGCATGATAGTTGAATATCGGAAGAAAACGGACGGTTAAAAAACTCTGTACCATGTTTACCGAAGTACAGAACTTAAAGTACCGTGAACCGAACTGTGGCATGTATACCACGGTATATGATTGTAGCTCTACTGATATGGGTACAAATCATCTCTTTTAAATTGAAGCGTTATTAAGCAGGCTTTTAAAACAGAATAGGTTTGACGTCATAACGTCATGAAGGTGTGGCTAAATATATGTCGTGTACAATAGCCAATCAAGATATGGGACATAAAACCACAAGCAGAGAACCTTTAAGGGTCCTGCATGACTAATGCACCGTAATTATGAATGGCCTATATGTATCCGGTTTTGTTTAAAAACACTGCTTGTTGTGCTTGATTAACTTTACCAACAATATTTGCAGATAATTGAAAGTTGTGTACATTGGGCCGAGTATGTTTAATTAGACCTAATAATGTATGCAATTATTTTTAAGATATTACATGCATTAATAAAGAAATTAGGTAAAACCAAAGGCTTCCAATCATAGCTAAAAACAAACACATCAGTATATTTCAACATTTTTGTCCCCCGCCTTTCGAAGAAAGCCGGGGACTATTAAAATGGGTTCGTCTGTCTGTCTGTCTGTCTGTCTGTCCGTCTGTCTGTCCGTCACACTTTTTGGGACACAATAACTCTCTTCCTAATTGAGCTAGAATGTTCAAACTTGGTGTATGTGTTTATTAGGTCAATGCCTTGATGGAGTTCGAAGATGAGCATTTTCCGCTTAGGGTAAGCAGAGATAAGCAATTTGATTGGTTGATGCTTTGGGACACGATAACTCTCTTCCTAATTGGGCTAGAATGTTCAAACTTGGTGTATGTGTTGATTAGGTCAATGCCTTGATGGAGTTCGAAGATGAGCATTTTCCGCTTAGGGTAAGCAGAGATAAGCAATTTGATTGGTTGATGCTTTGGGACACGATAACTTTTAATTGAGCTAGAATGTTCAAACTTGGTGTATGTGTTTATTAGGTCAATGCCTTGATGGAGTTCGAAGATGAGCATTTTCCGCTTAGGGTAAGCAGAGATAAGCAATTTGATTGGTTGATACTTTGGGGCACGATAACTCTCTTCCTAATTGAGCTAGAATGTTCAAACTTGGTGTATGTGTTGATTAGGTCAATGCCTTGATGGAGTTCGAAGATGAGCATTTTCCGCTTAGGGTAAGCAGAGATAAGCAATTTGATTGGTTGATGCTTTGGGACACGATAACTTTAGTTCTAATTAAGTGAGATTGATGAAACTTGGTGTATAGATTTATTATATGAATACCTTAACTAAGTTCGATAATGAACATTTTTTGCTGAGGGTAAGCAGAGTGATAAGCAATTTGATTGGTAGAAACTTTGGAACACAATAACTCTCCTTCTAATTGAGGTAGAATGTTCAAACTTGGCATAGGTGTCTATTAGGTGAATGTTTAAACTTGATGTATATGTAGATGTTCATTAGGTGAATGTCTTGACTGAGTTCAATAATTAACATTTCGAGCTGAAGCTAAGCAGAGCTAATCGATTTCATTTGTCGATGGTTTGGGACAAGATAATCTTGATTCTATCTGATAGAGAGTGATGAAACTTAGTGAAAAAAATAAATGTGCGATTAATTAATATGTGTCATCTATTTATTTTGCAATTTCGGCGGGGGACATCAGCCTCACTGTTGGCTTGTTAGCTTTGTTCTCGTACTAAATCTCTAATTAAATATTATCCATAATCTTCAATCAACATTAAAAATTGGAATCAGAATTTAATGTCGGTCCATTTCATTTACATTCAACAAGCTTTGATGTTATCTTACTGTGAAAATAACAGCTGTTGATATCCTATACTGATATTAATTCACTCAAATAAATCACTCAAATAAACTATAACATTTCATAACCATCAAAATTAATGTCCATTAATTAACTCAAAATAGAAAGTTTCCCAATCACACACAACACTCTTTGAGCAGTTGGGCATACATGTATTTTGCATTATAATGCTATATCCATGTAGGTTTTCTTAACAAAATTGATCTTGGTAGATGAATTTAGGAAATCTGATAAAATAAAACAAATGAATATCATTGTTTTTAAAAAAAATATGCAATAGTTAGAATGTACCATGTAATTCTAATCATTGTTTTTAATTGGAGTAATACACCTCGGTTGTGTCAATGAAACAGCAACATGATGCTGTTAATAACCGGTACCTGCTGTTTTAAACATTTTTATTTTTTAAAGCAAATGCTATTTCAGAAATATGTATAAGGCCCACGATAAAGTTCATTTAAAAAATGTGTGTCGATCAACAAAGGTTAGTGTAGTGTCCCTGGTAGTTTGGATACATTTTCCATTCAATAGATGTCGAAAAAAGGATTCCTAGCAAAAGGTATAATGGTAGGTCCGCTCTTTATTTCAGTTAATTTATTGATCAAAATGGATATTGACATGTCAGATGAAGACAGTGAGGATGTACCAACATCATTCTTCATTACTGCATCTCAAGTGGAAACACAAACTTCACATGATCAACAAAGTATACTTCGTAATCTACCGGCTTTAAGATCAGCTATTAAGGTAACATGGAATTAAATGATTACTCATGTCCATAAAATACCATTCATCTAATGTCAATAATTTATTAAAGCAACAAGAAAAATCTTTTTGACAACTTTTTGGCATCTGTTCAAAATGAAAAAGGTTGTATACATTTTGTTATTATCACTTATATTTTGCATTAAATGTGTGTACATCGTTATTTTATGTGTACTTCCACTAATTTTGTTTATTGTATTGAGCCAAATTCTTTTTACATTTGGGTAATACTAGTAGATCATTATCATGTGTCTTCTTCCCAAAAGTGAAAACCATAGTTTATGAGGTACTTTTCAACCTTAATTTATTTACACACACTGTACGAATATTGGTCAATTAAAGTATACAATAACATAATGGGAAGTCTGGATATATACGCCGGTATTAGAGTTATCATCCAAAATTTCTACGCACTAATTATGTTTTGAGATGAAAACCCCTATTTTCTTAGTTATGGCCCTTGAATCTTGATTACATAGAAAAATCCATACTGCACGCAGCGACCCATCTGTAGATAGGCAGCCTAAGTTTGGGATGAGAAAAATCTTGTGTCAGCTCAAAAGGCTAAAGTTATGATCCTATTTACTTTAAAAATTTATACACAGTGTTTCATGGGATGATTTTCGATTACTTGAACATGTTTTGTTTATGTTAAATGTAAGGCTTATACATGTAATACATTTATTTGATTAATTTTGTAACCAGCATATTGCTATCCATTCCAGAAATACTGCTAATCAATACTTGAATTGAAGCAATGTTAATGTCAATCTTTATTATTAAACATGCATTATGCAAGAGCTAAATCTGTCTATTGCAGGTCTTGCTTGAAATGTTATCTAAATTATTAATTAGACATGTATTAACTTACGCAGACCATAATCAACTCTAGATGGCATCGCTAACCTGCGATCTTAAGTGGATTGTGAGCCGATTTACTGCATAACTTTCCTTCTCGATTAAACGATTAAATGGATAATCGAGACTATGCTGTTTATCGTACTGACTTTAGTAATGATGACCGAGGCTAGGCAGAAATTTCATTCGCTTAGTTTTCGATTCATAGTGGATCAATTTAAATGAAATTTTCAGCAAATTGCCTTTACGTTATCTAGTTTTTAACTATTATAGTGAGAACTGCCAACTCGTTATCAAATCTCCCATAATGTATCTTTAATATTATCTTAATTTATCACCCAATAATACATTCTACAGTAGATAACGCTTGTGTGATATATTTCATAATCTACTGCATCGCTTTACATGAATTTGATTGGTCAGTTGAAAAGGAACTACTTTTTTTTATTTTCAAAGAACAGTTTATTTCTTATTAAAAGTAACTTTTTTTTTATTAAAAATGAACTATTGTTATTCAATTGACCGTGATGGAAACACTATCAACTTGTATTTATCACCCAATAATACATTCTACAGTAGATATCGCTTGTGTGATAAATTTCATAATCTACTGCGATATCTCCACAGGAGATATCACTTTACATGAATTTGATTGGTGAGTGAAAAAGGAACTATTTTTTTTTTATTTTCAAACAACAGTTCATTTTTTATTAAAAGTAACTTCTTTTTTTTTATTAAAAATTGATTTTAACTGAAATCAAACTGTAAGTGTAATTTATAATTTTAAAATGCCAAAGTGCCCCACTACTTATTGAATAATGCCTATCTAACTTACTAAGTTGAAATGATTTTTTTCCCAATATAAATTACCTTTGGCTCCTATATAAATCATCATAGCCCCAAAATCATAAATACTTTGCATATGGCGTATCTAGTATTATAGGACTGACAGGGTTTCTATTCCCCGGTTGTACGAGACAGGGAGTAGGGTCGCCCGTCCAACCTCGTGGGTTTTCTCCAGGTCCTCTGGTTTCCTCCCACTACTAAAGACCCCTACGCGCTAATGAATTATTCAAATAAAATTAAACCATGTGTTAGTCCCGAAATGACCTAGTTTGTGTCTAGTGGAGTTAAACCCCACCCCTCTCTCTCTCTCTCTCTCTCTCTCTCTCTTTCTCTCATTTTAAACAATTGTAGGCCTACAAAGATATTGTTTTATAGACATTAGATATGAAGTGTGTTTAGATTTTTTTTAGGGGTTTTTTTTGGTCTATTAATTATTTGAAAATAGTATAATTTATACTTGAATCATGTGTAATATATAAAATAGTAATAAAGAGTTTTGATTACTGGGGTTTTGAGGGGTTTTTTTGTTCTTGGGCTTATAATTTGGGGCGTCATCTAATTGCTTATATTGCCTTACAATAAAATAAACGGGTGGGCCGCAGCTATATTTCCCATGCAATGAAAAGAAAATGAATGAAAATTATTTTTGTGAATGATAGTATGTTTAAATTATATAACCCAGGCCATTGGCAATATTATCATTATTCCTAATATATATATCTATAGGTCGCAATAGATCTCACAGCGTAGCTCTAATCAATGTTTGTTAAAGGACAATATTGGTGTCACTCATTATTACATATGTGATAGAACTGGTTAAATACATTCCAAATATAATTTCAACACAAGAGATCATTGCTAATGCTATGGTAGATGTATAACAAGCACGCGAAGAAACAGGAAGTGACGCCAAACATGACAAACACGAGTTATCCTCCTATATAACTGAATGAAGTAACATTCCGTTGAAGATGAAAAGTTATTATATGGAACGGTGAGAGGGTATCTCACAATTCAAAAATAGAATTGGCTGTCACTAGATAAGGGAAAACGAGAAAAATAGAAAAATCCCGTGCATTCCCCGTATTTATTCATTCTGATCTTAATAAAAACATGGTAATGCACAGGCTTTTTCTAATTTGTTCGTTATCTTTTATCTACTGACAGCCAATCCGTTTTTTGAATTGTCAGATATCCTCTCACCGTCTCATATAATAACTTTTCATCTTCAACTGAATTATCAGTCAAATGAAATTCGATCGCGTGTCTGTTATCGCTCGTTACTTCATTTAGTTATATAGAAGGATAACTCGTGTTTGTCATGTTTGTCGTCACTTCCCGTTTCTTCATGTGCTTGTTACACATCTCCCGTAGCAATGATCTCAGTGTTAAAATTATATTTGGGATGTATTTAACCAGTTCTATCACATATTTTATAATGACTGACACCAATATTGTCCTTTAATGTCGTGATTTTAAGTTAGGAAAGGGTGACGGCTGTCCTAAGTTAAAATTGATTTTTTAAAATAAATTGTCCCTAATATAGTTTTGTGAAACGCCACTATTTTAAGTTAAGATACAATTTTAACTTATAATATTATTTTAGTGGATTTTATCTTAAATGCTTAAAATCGTTTTGTGAAACGCATCTATCTTAAGTTAGGATGGAATTTTAGTTTAAGAAGATTTTAAGGAGATTTAAGTTTTTGTGAAACAGGGCCCAGGTTCAGTAAAAGTGAAATCTATAACAAAGAATTATATTTATTTACTTATGCATGTAAGAAAGGGTTAGGTGATAAATAAAATCTCCTACTCGTCTTTGTTTATATCAAAAAATATCAACACTTGTCGATAAAGTAAAAAAAATACTGGGTAGAGCCTCGTTTTTTTTTTTTACTTTATCGACTTGTGTTGATATTTTTTATTATCAAAAAAGACTCGTCGGAGATTCTTTATTTGCTAAAGCTTTATGTCCAATCCAGGATGTTTTGAAATTAGATTAAATGTAGATGTATTTCAAGATGTTTTGAAATTAGATTAAATGTAGATGTATTTTAATTACTGTACTATTATTATTTGAAAGCCTAAGGGAAATGACAAAGAAATGGCGAACCAGAAAGACGCAATCGGTGCTACAAACATTGGATTATTAGAAAGTTCTGAAGATGAATTTAAAAAACAAGGTAAATGAAATGAAATGAAATGGGGTTTAATGTCCAACTGTTCTGCGAATTAAAAAGGTATTATCACTTCCAACAATAAAATAAACCTTATTGTTTTTGCATAATATCTTAATCGAAATAACCTTAAATTCACCTAATTATGTAAAATCAAAGCACTGGCATCCAATCTACTAGTGGGAGTTTGCATGAATATCCCAGATATAACTGTAGTCATAGTAAATTAGATATTTCTAAAGCACCAGTACCTATTTAATAAATTTTAAGACTAGGTAGTGAATCAAAATTTATATTTGCTAACAAACAGATTGCATTTCTTATTGAAAAAGTTATAACATTTTATAGAGCATTCTAGAATTCTAGTTAAAGATAGTGAGAGTGAGTATGAACCGATGATCAAAAGGAAGCAAAAAATGTCAAAAGGTGATGACAAGGAGATTACATGTTTAGAAAGTTTCAGGTATGTACAATTATGCTTTATCAAGACTGATGACTTAATATATACATGTAATGCCTGTTGAATTTGGTTAAAAAAAGCATTTGCAATATTGTCTAACAATTTTAATTCTGTCATAAAATAGAAATTAGGTTGAATTATGTACATTATAGTACGGCCACATTTTCATGTGGACGTATATTGTCGTCACCCCTGTCGGTCCACAATTTGTTTGTGGACAGGCTACAGGTCACAATTTTTATCCAATTTTGACGAAACTTGAAATATAGGTTTATATCCAAAAGATCTCAGTTCCAAAAGTATGTAATACCAAGGTTGTGGACCCTCTAAAGGTTACAATTTTTATTGTATGTCCATGTGGTCGTATATTGCTGTCCATCCGTACATACTACATTTATCATCTGATTGTTTTTGAAATTGATATATGTTGTCTACATTAGTGAGATGAAGAAGCCTCTTTAATTTCAATAATTAAAATTAACTTCGTCTGTAGTTATGGCCCTTGGATCACTTTGTTGCCCCTTGTGAACACTCCAACGACAAAAGCTATCATCCGATCTGTATGAAATTTGTATGCATCTTTTAAATTAGTAAAATGAAGAAGCCTATTGAATTTCAGCAATTTTCGTTAATTACATCTAGAGTTATTGCCCCTTTTTTTCACTCTGTTGAACCATGTGAATGCTCTAACTACAAAAGTTATCATTCGATCAGTATGAGATTTATATGCATCATTTAAATGAGTGAAACAAAAAGCCTGTTGAATTTCATCATTTTCCCTCAATTACTTTTAGTGTTATGGCCCTTGTTGAATGTTTGAATGCTCTAACGACAAAAGTTGTCATCCGATTTGTATGAAATGTATATGCATCATTTAAATTAGTGAAACGATATGCATCATTTAAATTAGTAAAACGAAGAAGCCTATTGAAATTCAGCAATTTCCTTCTATTACTTCTAGAATTATGGCCCTTGTTTTACTTTGTTGAATTTTGTAAACAACAAAAGTTATCATCCAATCTGTATGAAGTTTATATGCATTATTTAGATTTGTAAGACAGAAAAGCTTGTCAAATTTCAACAATTTCTGTAAATTACTTGCAGAGTTAAGGCCCTTGTTTCAGTTTGTAGAACATTTTAAACCATGTAACGACGAAAATTATATTCTGATCTGTATGAAATGATATTGTAAATGCCCTCCCATTACCTGCAAAAGAATGCATCCCTTGTTGATCGCTCGGACAATTTAGCTGCTGTGGACGTATGTTTTATTGCCTAGCAACCTATTTTATGATTTTTCATTAAACTTAAAATATGTGTTTATATCCCAACGATCTAAATTCCTTTCGATTTTCGCGCATATCGGACAGTAACTTCATGGATTATGGCCATTGTACGAAACAAAATTTTTTGTTTGTTCTCTGTCCATCTCTTGCAAAATGTGGTCATATCTTGCATGGCAATCGCTTGTTCTTGTACTAGTTCTCTGCCTTTCAGTTCTCATTCTATTTCTTTTAGAATTTATAATTTTCTGTGTAGCATTGACTCTGCAGACTGAAGATAAAGTGAGAAAAGTGATATGACAAGTTGGGGTTATTGTATTATGACTATAAATAAAATGTTATTGTTTATTTAAGTGATGATGAAGGAGGAATTGTTTCGCCATCTACTAGTGATAATGATGGTAATATTACTGTTATATGCCGGCAAGACAGGAAAATAACTATATCAGATATTTCAGGTGTGTGTGACATCAGCTATAGCATTATAAATTTCAAAAAATTATCTCGTAAATTAGGGGAATTCTTTATATGAAATTTTGTATTTATTACATCAGTGTAATTATTATTTGCTGTAATAAGATCACATTTTCTTTACAGTGACTGTTGACCATATTTATATTTATAGATGTATGTGTGGCCAGTACTAGTGGTAGTAAACTTGGTGAAGAAGGTGGTTCAGGATTTCAGTAAGTTGTTTTGATTTAGAAATTGTTAGATAGTTGGACAAAATTACAACAAAAATATGTTAGCTATGTAAACCTTTCAAATGGTAGGTGGTATCAGTATTATAGAAAGAGTAGACATAAAAAAAGTTATCTGTTTTTAAATAGACTGTGTTTTTGGTTGTTTTTTTTTAGGTCTCAAGGATTTGAGATAGCTCCAAGCTCCCAAAAAGATATTTTTCATGGCAAAGATGATGGTAAGTTGACTGACTATACAAATTTTATCACCCAATAATACATTCTACAGTACATATCGCTTTACATGAATTTGATTGGTCAGTTGAAAAGGAACTACTTTTTTTTATTTTCAAAGAACAGTTCATTTCTTATTAAAAGTAACTTTTTTTTTTTTTATTAAAAATGAACTATTGTTATTCAATTGACCTTGATGGAAACACTGGGTCAATATAAAGGACCTTGCAATGGTTGAATTGCTGTCAAAAAATGATGTATCACTACTCTGTAATGTTCAGTAAAAGTGAAATCTACAGCAAACAATTATATTTATCTATTTGTGCATGTAAGCAGGGATTGGGTGATAAATAAAATCTCCTACTCGTCTTTTTTGATATCAAAAAATATCAACACTCGTTGATAAAGTAAAAAAAAACTCGGCAGAGCCTCGTTTTTTGTTACTTTATCAACTTGTGTTGATATTTTTTGATATCAAAAAAGACTGGTAGGAGATTCTCTATATAAAATGAAATGTTATATTTATTTATTCGGTGCAACTACAAATCTATAACATTAGAATAGAATGAAAGGTTATTTATTATGATTCACTGTAATATGAATTCAGCTGTAGATAAAGCCATGACCATTAAATACATATTGCTTTGTTTTCCCGTAAATGACCATGTTTGTGAAACGACATGCATTATGTGATCGTCAACCATGGTATTATTTTAGAATAGTGTTTCTGATAATCTTTTCCTGGGTCTGGTTTTTTTACCAACTTAGAGATAGTGTAAATATGAAAGACACAATCTCTAGGAACTGGGCTCATGCTTTTATTATGACTTGATATAATCACCTTGTGATTTCAGCTGACAACCTAGTAAGCCAATGAGAAAACAGTCATCTATGACTAGTATTAAGTGTACCAAGGGCCGGTAAGCTGGTAATGCTCATTACCATTGCTTCAGGATTATTGGTATCTAACCTCTTTCAAGCAAACTAAATAAAAATATTTAATTATTATTGTATTCACATTGTTATTTAATATAGAAGATTCTGATGATAGTCTTGGTGGTAATCAAAGTCAAATGTTTAAAAGTTTACAACTATCGGGTGATTCCATGTTAGTACCAGAAACATTAGATCAAAGCATGTAAGTTATTCTTTACAAATCCAATCATATAGATAAATGAAAGTTAAAAAATATTAATTCAGATCTAAATACAATTCTTGCAGCAATAAATTTCGGTTTTAGGTCATGTTATACAATACATTTGGGTCTCTATTGAAAATCCCAGCAGTGAAATTTTCTTATTTTAATGGCAAAAATTGATTCCAAATGTTAGTTTAATATTTGATCTGTTAATACACCAATCAATGAATATTTTGAATATATAAAGGTTATGTGGGTGGTGAGTAATTAGTTTTAAAATTCACCTCTCTTTTGTTTCAGACCAGACTCTCCAGACATTATTCCTTCCACCCCTGTCATAATTCCTAATTCACCAACAGATATTGAAAGCCAAGAAGGTAATTATAGACTGACTGATGTACCTCATTGTAGATTGAGGGATTAAATTGTTAATACACCAGTAACCGATGTATTAAAATTAATAATTTTTATATATTCAAAATTCTTGAAAAAATGTATCACAATATTGCCAAAACATTTGAGAAATTAAGAGTTTATATTGTACATGATTTGTTAAATTATTTCTATTTTTTAGAGCAGAAAGTAGAAGACGTTACAATGTATGACCCCACAGCTGTTTCAACATTAGCAGGAGATGTAAGATATAAACTACCTTGGAGTACTCTTAGAAGAGAGACTTTTTCGAAACAGTTATCATTTATCTTTACAATATATTACGTATATTGTCGTCACCCCTGTCTTTCCACAATTTGTTTGTGGACCCTCTACAGGTGACAAGTTTTATCCGATTTTGATGAAACTTGAAATATAGGTTTATCTCCAAAAGATCTTGGTTCATTTCGATGTATTGCACCATAACTTCATGGATTATGGCCCTGATTGTACGAAAAATCACGTTTTTAGCTTGTGGACACTCTAGAGGTCACAATTTTTATTCGATTTTGATGAAACTTGAAATGTATGTTTATAACCCAAAGATCTCAGTTCCTTTTCATATTCGCACATATCAGACCGTTACTTCCTGAATTATGGCCCCTAATTGTACATAAAAATGTCCGTTCCTTGTACGCAAATAATGTAAAAGTATATAATACCAAGGTTGTGGACCCTCTAGAAGTCAAAATGTATGTCCAATTTTAATGATCTTGGTTCTTGTCGATATTCGCGCATATTGGACTGTACCTTCCTGGATTATGGCCCCTGATTTTACAAAAAATCACATTATTTTTTTTAGCTCATTCTCTGTCCATCTCTTGCAAAATGTGGGCATATCTTGCATGGCAATTGCTTGTTTGTTCATAATATGTCTTTAACCTTTTGAAATATAGACAAAGTATTTTTGCTATGTAAACTCCTCAAATGAGAATTAATATCAGGAATTCTGGAAAGAGTGAGAATTGCTCTACCTAATACATGAAACCTTTTACTAAACTTCTCATGAACTGGAGGTTATTACTGCAGCAAACACTTAGTGTATGCTACTCTCTCTGGTGTCTACATAAAGAGTAGTACCCACAATTTTAATTATAGTTATTAGAACTTTTCTTTTGTCATCCTTGTAGGATGATGGTTCAAGTGATTCTCTTCCACCAGCTAGTCAATCTGTTAAACATAAATATTCTCATTCAGATAATAAACAGGTAAATATAATATTTTAAAGATGAAAAATGCCAATGAGCATTTTCTGTTTTCAAATTTAACAAAAATAAGGTTTGAAGAGTTTTCTTTGGATAGAAATGAGTTGTCGTTCAGATGTTAACAGACGGTTACAATAAATTCCAGATGACAGCGTGAAATCAGTACAAAATAATGTGCATCATTTACATTACTATTGATTGATTTTAATAATTCTTTTATCTGTATGCATTTTGACAAAACTACTTTTTATTTTAAATGGTTTCAATGGCATTTAGTAATTGACCTAGAATATACAGGTTGCAATTCTATGGAATACAATTACTGCTTATTACGACGAGACAATATATATATGTAAAAATAACACTTGGTTAATGCTGGCCAACCAGAGACATCCTAATTACCTTGATGGAAACTAACTTTGATATGTAGGCCCTTCTTGTATTCTATATAATACAATTACTGCTTATTACTAGGCTTCTCTAGTCATTATATTTTACATGTAAAAAAACAACACTTGGTTTATGCTGGCCAACCAGAGACATCCTTTATTACCTTGAAGGAACCTAACTACATTTTATGTAGCTTGATAATGACTAGAGAAGCCTAGTTGAAAAGTCGCTCAGTAATAGAATTGTTACCTGAATATACTTTTTAGTGTGTATATCTATATTTTTCATAAATTCCTGTAGAATGGGCTTTTAGTAAATGAGGATACAGTAATTTTCAAAACAGGAATTCATTAAAGAAAGAATTGGTGTGCTATGATAATAATTTTCATATCTGTTTGCATTTTGGCAAAACTACTTTTTTTTTTATTGTATATTGTCTGAACGTCAATATTTTCCATAAATTCCTGAATAATGGTGTGCTATGATAAATTACAACATTATATTTTTCAGCATGAAGATAAATCATTGGAGGATAGAGGAAAGCAAGAGGGTATTTATATTATTATTTTGTTTTATTAATATCAAATCTTAATTTCAATTATTTTGCTGCATTTGACAGTAAATGTATAAAATATTTTGATAACTACTTTCATCAACTGGCATGTTAACAAATCAGAACCAGCTAATTCATATTCAAGCATTTATTTTGCAGCTGATTTACTTAAAGATACATTATGGGAGATTCGGTAACGAGTTGGCAGTTCTCGCTATAATAGTTAAAAACTAGATATGGTAGAAGGCAATTTGGTGAAAATTTCATTCAAATTGATCCACTATGAACCGAGAACTAAGCGACTGAAATTCCCATAAGCCTCGGTCATCATTACTGAAGTCAGTACGATAAACAGCATAGTCTCGATTATCCATTTAATAGTTTAATGAGAAGGAAAGTTATGCAGTAAATCGGCTTACAATCCACTAAAGATCGTAGGCTAGCGCAGCCATCTAGAGTTGATTATGGCCTGGATAGGTTAATTAATGTCTAATTAATAATTTAGATAACATTTCAGGCCTAAAGAAAGACCTGAAATAGGAAGATTTAGCTCTTGCATAATGCATGTTTAAGCAGCAAATTTTGTATTCCAATTTCAGGTGATTCACAAGAATTAGCTCTACAGTTATCACCTTCCCAACCATACATGTATCAGTTTAGTAAGTACTGCATATTATTATCTTTAAACTTGAATAGTCATTTGCATTTTTGTATAACAAATTTTTGCACCAGGAAGAACTAGAAGCCAATCAAATTTTGATTATTTCATTTTTTGTTACTCTTGATCAGTTTTTAGTATCTTGTAAATGCTTACTTTACCCACAAAAGAATAAATTAGTGACAACCCTTGTGGACTGCTGGACGACTTAGCTGCTGTGGGGTTGTCTGGCAGCCTATCTTGTAAAGCAGCTTGTCCTTTCTTATTAGATGAAAGTGAGAAGAGACGATCAGATTCACCTGTCATTCAACAAAATAAAATGCAGTTATCAGAAACAGGTACATATTAGTTCTATTAGTTTTTTACTTTTGTCTTCATTAGCCCAGTCGGTGGAGAAAAGTATGACATTAAAACCTATTTCATTTATTTAACTTGTTTACTTAACACTTTTCTATGGAGGTACTCGATTGAACGTTCCGGAATTGAATTCTCTCAGTCCCAAAAATAGTGGCAATCGAGTGAAAAGTCGGATTTTGAGCTACACCGCATGCGTCGACTGAATCAGTAAATATCTCAACCAACCATGCAGCCGATACATTTTAATTACGTCACGATTCTACTCACACCACCTCCGTTGTCGGGACTGACAGAACTGTGACAGAACTGAATTCCGCGTTACTCGATTGCAATTCTGTCAATTCGGGACGTTCTGGACTGTGAATCGAGCATCCCCTTAATAATCTGAATATTTTCACCCGTCATAGTTAAGTTTAGGTAACTCAAACTGTGCATAATTTTGCATTTCTCAGAAAAAAATAATATTTCTCACCACTTAATCTATACTAATATGTACTCAAATTAATTATATGTTATTTAATTAAGAAAACAAAATCAAAATATCAACGCTAGACAAACCATACTATAGGGTGGAGAAAGACAATTAGCTACTGATTCCCAGAACAGATAACCTGTAGACAATACAAACTACACAGACATTCCAAGAAATAAACAACAAATATCTATTCAAGTGAATGGATTTGGGGGTTATTAGAGATTTGAATGGATATAGGACTTCCAATAGACAGTGTCAATTCCGGGTTATTTTAATTGTAATTTATATGATCCGTTTTTATAATTAGGTGATTTCCAGCTGGCTTTACCAGGCAATAGTCCATTACATCCAGCAGATAAATCTTCTACTTATAGTTCTGATACAAAAACAACTGAACCAGAGTAAGTAATGTCTATATCAGTGAAAGTAATGTCTATATCAGAGTAAGTAATGTCTATATCAGAGCATTAAGTGATATTTATTTCAGAGTATTAAGTAATATTAAGTAATGTCTATATCAGAGTAAGTAATGTCTATATCAGAGTATTAAGTATTCTCTATATCAAGAGTAAATACCAGGGCTCTCATTTGGACCCATTTGCCAGGGAATGAAAATGTTCAGCTGAAAAATCTGCCACACAATTTAGATGCTCAAAAATTCAAATATTTAATTCAATTCCATTTACACCACTTATATAGTTATAAATATACTATAAATAAGTTTTATTTTCTAAACCAGGTAAAACCAAATAAATATTGTAGGCATATCCCTATAATACAATTTTTAGGTTTGATTGCCTTTAGGGCATAGACTCCTATTTTAAGCTGGACATTCCTTACAAAATTGCTTGAAATTGTAACTAAATGAAAGAATCAAAGTTTTTTGGGGGGTTTTTGGCCTAACTAATGGTGATTTTGATTATTCATTGTCACTTTTATTCTCAACACAGCTGCATCTTTGCATGATTTCTCCTTTTATTGTAGCAAACAGAACATTGATATAGGCTATTGTTAAATAAATAGATTTGACATTGTTTTCAGCAATGTACCAGCAGTACCTAAAACAGCATCATTAAATATAAGCCAAATGGAATCCCAGTCAGAGAATACATCAGACACATGTTTTCAACTTAAAGGTAGGACACCAGAAGAGTTTTGTTTGGTAAATTAAGGACTATTCCATCTCGAAATATCTTGGATCTGGTGTGTAGGTGAAAAGAAATGGCCTCATGTCATTTGTGTGCAGTGCTCTTTCGATGTTGTTAGTATGCAGAAAGGTCAGCACAAGGTATGATGTAAATCAAATTGCATAGTTAAAGAAAATATTTGATAATATATTATTTTAGTGCCTCATGTATCTGTGACTGATGAAGTAATGGAAGAAAGTTTAGAACAGAATGTTTTTAAAAGAAACCCAACAACACCAGTAAGATCACACCCAGTACAGTCTATGATAGAAGAAAGGTAATACATTAGATAAATCACACCCTGTACCATCTGTGATACAAGGACAAGAACATAAATGCCAGTAACTTCACACTAAGTTAAAACTATAACACGGGAAAGATAAACGCCATTAAAATCACTCTAAGTAAAAATCCTAATACAAGAAAGATAAACACCAAGTAAAAACTATAATACAAGAATGGTAAACACCAGTAAAATCACACCAAAGACCAAGTAAAATCTATAATACAAGAAAGGTAAATGCCAGTAAAATCACACCAAGTAAATACAAGAAAGATAAATGTCATTAAAATCTCACTAAATAAATACTATGATATAAGAAAGATAAAAGCTATTAAAATCACACTAAGATTAAATTTTTGGAACTTTAATGTACTGTTTTTATTTTTAGCAGTGAAGATGCCTTTGCTTTTGAGAGAAAAAAACGTAAAACTACTCTGACAGGTACTACAGATGATTTACAGTTTAAACAACCAGAAACAGAAATGGATGTTGGTAATAACAGTGAAGAAACTGTTGATTCAAATGCCGAAACTCAACCATCCAATGAAGATTGTACGGAACATTCTAGAATGGTCATGAATGAAAACAAGGTACAGTACACCCATTTGTTATTCTACATGTCCCATGGCCTACTTGCTAAGCATCGATGCATCAAACGGGGGAAAAATATTTTAAAATTTTATGTAAAAATCCGGCATTCGGACTTCCAAAAATATATTTAGGTGTCAGTTGATAGTTTTTATTTTTTGCTGACAAAAAGTGAACAATCAATAAATGTTATCAAGAATCAAATCACTGTTGTGAGAAACGAATTCTGAGTTTTGTCTATTATCTATTTTCCTATTGCCGCAATGTTGCTAAAACAGAAGTTTTATAGTGCGAGCCTCCCCTTTAAATATTACATGGGAATTATATCCCCTTAAAATAATAGGAAATTCAATTTCTATCCTTTTTTCCAGGTTATGGAAGGGGAGACGCCTACTGCTGTGCTCACTTCAGATAAAAGTATAGAAATAGTGGAAGTTGACCAATCTGTGATTGTAATAGATACTCAAGATGATAAATCTAATAATAATGAAGATAAATATACATCCATACAGGAGAAAAATAAAGACGACAAAAATGTCACAGTCATTGTTGAGACATTAAGCGATAGTGAATCAACCATTCCTCTATTACAACAACATCTTGATGCTGCTAAAGAAAGACAATCAGACGTCTGTCACCAACCTATATCTACAGAAGCAAAAAGTTCACAGCAGACAAATCAATCTTTAACTAAACTGAAATCAGGTTCTGAAGCACAGTCCCAATCAGATTTAATCAAAAATGAGGGAATGGTTGAAACAAACATGCCATCATCACAGGACAAGGAGTTACATGTACCAGAGAAACGGAGAAATGTGTCGCAAGAAGATTTAACGAGTGAGAAAAAAATACCAAGACTGGATAAAGATAAACATGGGACTGCAGCATCCACATCACACAATCCTGACCAAAGCCTTTCATCAGAAATACCGAAGCACACAAATGACACAACTAATATTACCGAAGATCCTTATTTATTCCATGGTACACAGTCCCAGGGTCTTGCTCTACATGGAAAATCTGTAACCTCCATACCTGGTAAAGTAAAAGGTGTAAGTAATTGGATTTATGTGACAAGGGATGTGACAATAACAACGTATTTTCCTGAATTAAAATGTGCCAGGTTTTTTTCTAGGCGAATTGAGCTGATAAATTCATTTTTTACAAAATATTTCACCTAGCACTATTTTTTTTGGGTTGGGTATCAGCCATTTTCAGGTGCATTTTGATTTTTCCACAATATTGTATTAGAAACACTTTGAATAGGCCTTTTAGGGTGTCCTTAATAGGGTTTTCTGGGGCGACAAACATAATACAATATAATTTTTATAGGTCCACATTCATAATGTGGACGTATTATGCCGTCGCCCCTGTCTGTGTGTGTGTCTGTGGGTCGCCTACAGGGTGCAATTCTTAAGTGATCATCTTGAAACTTTACATACAAACTTATTCCTTATACCCTAAGGATGATCCATATTGTTTTTGGTGCATGCACGACCCCCAGAGGCAGAGCCACGCCATTTCTTGTGTTTGTTTGTTTGTTGTCTTCAGACTGCATTTCTTAACGTATCATCTTGAAACCAAAAGATCTTGGTTCCTTTCGATATTTGCGCATATCGGATCGTAACTTCCTGAATTATGGCCCCTGATTGTCCGAAAAATCACCTTTTTTAGCTTGTGGTCCCTCTGGAGGTTACAATTATTATCCGATTTAAAAAACCTTTTAATTATATCACATTTACACCGTAAGGCAGATTGAGTTCTAATTTCATGAAATGGCTGCCGCTTGTACGCGAATAGTGTAAAAATATGCTATATCAAGGTTGTGGATCTTGTAGAGGTCACAATTTTAATCCGATTTTGATGAAACTTGAAGAGCATGTTTATAACCAAAGATCTTGGTTCCTTTCGATATTTGGGCATATCGAATTGTAACTTCATGAATTATGGCTCTTGATAGTAAGAAAAATCACTTAGCTTGTTCTCTATCCATCTCCCGAAATGTGGGCGTATCCTGCCTGGCAGCCGCTGGTTAGCCTTGTGGTCGTCTAGTATTGTTTCTGGTTGTAATTCTTTAACTGGTTAGGATGTATCTTTAAATGTTTCTTTAACATCTCACATTGTTTATATCTTTTTATCAGTCCCCAAAATATGGTATGATTAGCCCATTTTTGACAATAGCGAAACAACTCGCACCAAACAAAGAGACATGAACATAAGTATGGTTTCTACAGTTTTATATCTAAATAGATACATAGGTTACAAGAATAGATTAAAAATAAAGTAATGATGATTGGTTACTAAGCCTAATGATATGAGTACTATCCGTAAATGGACAATGGAATATTCCTCACATGAGTAAAATAGACAATAGAATTTATCCTTGGCCTTAGACCCCAATGTTCTGTTATTGACAATTACGTGTTGGTTGACACAGAAAACCCTATAAAAGACATCCTGGAAGCCTATTCGAAATGTTTATAATACAATATCGTGAAAAAAATACAAAATTCACTTGAAAATGGCCGCCATTTTGGAAAATGGCTGTTAACCGACTCCAAAAATTGTGCTAGGTGAAAAAGTTTTGCAAGAAATTAATTTTTCAGCTCAATTGGCCTGGGAAAAAAACATGCACATCTTTTCGATATATTTTATCCCATCCCTAATGTGACTAGTTAATGCATTTACACTCTGACCCTGATTTAAGTGTCAACCTTTGCATAGTTGTCAGGTTTCACAATCTTGTTGTGATCAATTATGGCTCTTTACATTGAAAACAAAGACAGATCATTTTAGCTTCCAGTCCTTAAAAGAGCATGAACACTATGGTTTAGCTCAAGTAAAGCGTAATATTTGATTGATTTTTATGTTGGTGTAGTTATTCATTAGTTGATGTGAATGTCTTTACTGATGATCATGTTCTGCATAGACTAAGCAGCTTGTCTTCAGTAGCCCAGTCGGTGCAGAAAAGTGGGACGTTAATCCCCATTTCATTTAGACTGGGCAGAGAAAAGCAATTTGATTTGCCAATGCTTTGGAACACAATAACTTTTATTCTAATTGAGTGACGATGATGAAGCATGGTGTGTACTTTCTTTACATCAATACCTTGATGAAGTTTAATAATGCACATTTTCTGCTCAGATTAATAATTTGATTGTTCAATGAGTGTTATCTATTTGATTTGGGACTACATCCTTCTTTCTTGCAGATATTGGCAACTGCTAAAAGACATAAAAAACTGTCAATGAGAAGATTATCAAGTAGAAGATGTACTTTCTCTACATCTTCATCAACAACAGACGGTCAGGTTACTAAGCAACAACCAGTAAGAACAAAAAAAATGAAAAGAGACAATAGACAAACAAGAAAAGACATGTTTACTAAACCAGTGGAACCTTTACATACAACGGCTACAAATCAAACAGGTGATTACAAAAAATTCTCTTGGTTTTTGTGAAAATTATCTATTCTTTATTGCAGTGTAATCTCAATTAAATTATAATCAGATGTTACTTTTATTCCATTTATTTGGATGGTAACTCCCAGGGCTCTATAAAAGTTGAGTGTGCCTGCGCACACACTTGAAAATGTGCCTGCAGGGTCATACTGAAACACAGGGATGTAGCCAGGATTTGGTGAGTGGTGTAAAAATATATGTGGCGAGCGGAGTGAGGCCAAAAAATTTTGGGAGGGGGCGTGGTCTTTTATGAAAATTAAACCCTTCTTGGTGTATTTTCAGAGCATCTGCTGCCTTTTGTATTTAGTTCAGTGCAAATCAAATTTCCATTTATATATTCAAATTTTACCAAATTCACTTAATTTTCATCAATGATACAGGGATCTAAAAACTTTTTGACACCACCCGACCGAGCATAAAATTGTTCCGCCCCACTCTGTTTCTCTGGATAGATAAGTTGAGGACCTTTTGGTATTTGTTGTTTTGTTGGGTTTTTTTTCAAATATTACTTTATTACTTTGAGATTAAAAATTAAAACGATACTTAAAACGGTGTTTGTGTTTTATTTGCAAACAACGAATTATGACAACAGGTAGATATTGATAATTAAAACACGTATTATTTGACTTGTTTGTAAAGTTGTTGTACGTGTCTCACGAATATTATTATTATTACGGTGTAATGAGAATAAGGTCAGGCAGAAACTGAGAAAGCTCTCATCTTCCTCCTAGTCCTACTCTCGGGCCGTAGCAAATCCACGGTCAACACAGGTAAGAAATAAAAAAAGAAACATCGTGAAAATTTGCAGGCACGTGTTGGACAATTACGACATTCGAACCTTTAACATTGGAGTGCCGTAAATTGGTCTGGGTGACCTATTTACGGCAAATAAACAAATATAAAGACCATAGAATAATTGTAAAATGAATAGACCTAGGCCTACACATCTTCTAAGTATAAATAAACAAAATACCAATACATCTTTCTTTAAACTAATTTGGGATGATAGGGTCTACTACGGCACACAAAAATAAATTATGCCGTGACAGACATGGTTTGCGTACGTCGGCTTTTTTGGCTTTGCCGTTTAATTGCCGTGGTAAATTTCGAGCGCCGAGTTTGTGTACAGAGAAGGACGAAGGGGTTTAAATACGACTGGGCGGTTTTCTTCGATTTTTTCTTTGTGCTGGGCGGCAAAAAATAGTGCCGGGCGCAGGCGCTGCCCGGCGTGGCTACATCTTTAAAAATGTGCCTGCAAAAAAGTTTTTCTAAAGCAAATGTGCCTGCGCACGCCGTGTGCATGTACGCGGAAATATCGATGCCTGGTAACTCCACTAACATGTTTAAGGCATGGGTGTTTTGGGCCTCTGATGACATTAGTATAACTTTAAATGTCTTGATATGTCAACCAATCACAATCTGCGTACTACTGAACCCAGCAGCCTATAAAACATGTATTTAGACCACAATGAAGTTGATTGTAGAACCAAAATATAAAATATGAATAGTATAATAGTGAAATTAATGCTAGACACCATTAGACAGAATGCTCAAATTTGTAGAGAAGTATTAATTACATTTCCTAAAATAGTTCTCTTTTTATTTTAGATAAAACAAATTATTGTGTAACATGACAAATTTTAGTATTTAAACAGGATTTTGTTTTCACTTTATGCAAAGATCTTCCTGATATCCTCATAAATATCTATTTCAGATTTAACAAAAAATATAACACCACTGAAAGATTCTGTGAAACCCAGCACAGCAACACTGGATAAGGGAGCTTCTACATCCTTCCCAAGTACTGGACATTCTCAGAAGCGATTAGATTTGGAAGCACAAAAATCTCCTTTACAAGTAATGTTGAATTGCTTTTTTTTCTCCAGGTCCTCCAGTTTCCTCCTATCTCTAAAGATCCCTACATGCAAGCGAATTGAAATAAAATTGTACCATATGTTAGTCCCAAAATTTTTCAGAAGTTGAATTTATCCCTGGCTATGCTGGACTGGTGTTCATGTAACCATTTATTTTATTAAATCACTAGTTATTTATGTGTATTATAATATTTGTGATTTTAAATTATATTTCTTACAGCGTAGTTCTAATTCTCAAGAAGATAATCTTGTTTATAGTGAAACTACTGTTTGCTATAAGATAATTACAATAAACATCAAAGATAAAGATGGTCGAGTTGTTCTCAATAAAAGAAAAAAGGTAAGCTTAAAGCTACTGTAACATATATTGGTGCATATGTAAAATGCAGTAGACGTGTGTATGTACATTACCTGTGAGCGAATATTGTATTACCAACTCTACTGTTATCTATTGGATGTTCTTATTGTGGCGCATGCTTTCTACCCTAGGTGAGAATGACAAATGAAAAACATAATTAATGAAAAGAAATTACCATAACATATGAACAAAATGCATACTAAAATTAATGTGGTGTGAAGGAGGTCAATGTAAATGTGTATTGGGCAATACTATAGGAACATCCCAAACTTAGGCTGCCTGTCTACAGCTAGCTCCGCCCGAGAACAGGCCTTAAGCTAATTACCCGACATTTTAATTCCTACATCGACGATTTTAGTCGAAAACACTGAGTATGCTTTTAGTAATTTTTAAAAGTATTTATTTCTCTTCTATTGTAATATTGAATGAAATTAAATATGTTTATTTAGCCGCTGTGTGTATGAAAGATGTCAAACTAATCAAAGCCGAATCACAAAATAGTCCTCTAATTATTCAATATGGCGGCGCCCATAAAAGGTAATTTCACAGAGGCGGTTTTGTTTGCGAAGACAAATTTAGGAGTATCTAACCTTTGAAAGATAAACAGATTGAAACTCTAAAGACAGTTTACAATGGCAAAAAATGTATTGCAACATTACCCACTAGCACATATTATATATCGCTTTACCGGATTGGCAGAAGTTGACATTTTGCTAAAGACGTGTGTTTACATAAAACACGTGTGTGATCGGGTTATTTTTTACTCTGTTGTGTACAGAAAGCTGTAGTCCGGTCGATAAGTCCCGCCCCAAAATGATCACGTGAGCGTTTTAAATGGCGGCTAACTGGGGCAGTGATCATAATGACGTATGACGTAGATGGATCGCTGCGTGCAGTTTGCTATAAGAACTGGTGAATTGGCTGACATAGATTCTCTATATTAATGGAATGATCAGTGGAAACTATCCAACCTGTCTTATTTTATGTTAAGCAATACACTAACATCACCCAGACAAATGGCTTATTCCAAATCTTAGTTACAGAGACTGTATTCGTTTTGGAAAAGTTAATAGTTGAGTGTAAAAAACACTTCTTTTTGACAAGGCAGCCAGTTGAAGCAAGGTATTTAGTTATTCCCATGCAGAAATGATACAGATTCAAATTATTAGACAATCTTATGATTCGGTATCAAAGCCACCAACAGTAAACCAGAAAGACTTGACATCAAAAATAATTTATCAAATTATTGACACAAAACAACAACAAAGCCAATAAAGGAACAGATACCAACAATTCTGTTGAATATTTCCTTGCACTGTAGTCCTGTAGTCATTTAAATGTTCCATCACACAGGATAAAGATTTTTTAGCCACACAGTTTCGAAGCTGCAACTAAATCTTATGGGCCTTGTGGCGTTGCATTACAACTTCCGGTTACAGAGTTATACTACTTCATACCGCATTACAGAGTTATAATGAAGCATTTAAGGGCAAAACCCCTGCAATGCTGGGTAAACAGATAGTAGATTATTAAAAATTTAAAGAGATTTTCCTGGAAGTAGAAGCCTGATCATAATTCTGTCAGCCAACCTTTTTTGATGGGGATTACTTGCCCTCCAAGAAGGTAATATTTTGACATTTTACCTATGCTCAAACACATAATCTATGGTCACACAGATGTGTTTGTAAAGATTGGAGCATTCATACTACCATCTCACTAAATCCCTCACACACTACAGATTGGTTGATAGATTTGTGACAACTTCACCTTCCAGGTAAGTCTTGTCATATCTTTTATGCTATATGATTAATATTTTTTATTTTAGGAACGTGGTGATACGATTATTGTCAAAAGGGAAATATCTCGAGAAGATATTCATCAGTTCGAATCACCTACTAGAAGCAGCAGTACCATAGGATCGGGTGAATTAGCTGACATAGATTCTCTCTCAAGATCAAACAGCACCACTTCTAAGGGTAGCATTCCATCAAGTTTAGAAAAAATGAGTCCCAGTCTAGAAATCTTGTCACTGTCTGTTCATAAGAGTGCCTCAATTATAACAACAAATACCACAGGAAATTCTGAAATGGCCCACACACCCAATGAATCTCCTATTGGAGTTGAAGAGGTTTGATTTTCTTTTGTTATCCATTGTATGCCAGAGGCAGTATTTAACATAACATAAATTGAAATATACTTTAAATCAATACTTATGTGAATTGTAGATTTGAATTGTAAATATTTTAAAGCTCGTTAGATTGCTCATTATGGTATAAAAACATCCCATCAAATTTCAAAAGTCAAGTCATTTGAAATATAGAAAAAAATAGCTTTGGCTATCTTCAGTTATTTTATTTTAACAGGCTGGAGCAAATACTGAGGAAGTTGAAGTGTCTGATGTATTGTTTACCAGTCCTGATACATCTGATGCTATTAAAAGAACAACAGTACGACCACAACCACCTGCTACAGAAAGTACAAGTCCTCTAGTATGTAAACAAGCTGCAGATTCGAGTAGTCAAGAGACAAGTGAAATAGAATCTGGCCAACGCCAACCAACAGACATCACATCTAAACATATCATGATAGAAGAAAGTGATGGTTTTTCTGTTAAAGGTAGTAATGTGTCATCTGCCTCCAGTATAAAGGGTGATGTGTGTGTTACACCAACAAGAAGAGGAAAAGCCAGGAAAACACCAGCAGGTAAATGGAGCACACAGTAGAATATTTAGATAAGCAGAATAGTTTGCTGACTCTATTTGTGTATGTGGTTCAATATATGTATGATTTTATATAAAAATATCTTTTAGATAAAACTGTGACTATTAATTGTCCCCCGCCTTTCGAAGAAAGCAGGGGACTATTAAAATGGGTTCGTCCGTCTGTCTGTCTGTCCGTCTGTCTGTCCGTCACACTTTTTGGGACACAATAACTCTCTTCCTAATTGAGCTAGAATGTTCAAACTTGGTGTATGTGTTTATTAGGTCAATGCCTTGATGGAGTTCGAAGATGAGCATTTTCCGCTTAGGGTAAGCAGAGATAAGCAATTTGATTGGTTTATGCTTTGGGACACGATAACTCTCTTCCTAATTGGGCTAGAATGTTCAAACTTGGTGTATGTGTTGATTAGGTCAATGCCTTGATGGAGTTCGAAGATGAGCATTTTCTGCTTAGGGTAAGCAGAGATAAGCAATTTGATTGGTTGATGCTTTGGGACACGATAACTTTTAATTGAGCTAGAATGTTCAAACTTGGTGTATGTGTTTATTAGGTCAATGCCTTGATGGAGTTCGAAGATGAGCATTTTCCGCTTAGGGTAAGCAGAGATAAGCAATTTGATTGGTTGATACTTTGGGGCACGATAACTCTCTTCCTAATTGAGCTAGAATGTTCAAACTTGGTGTATGTGTTGATTAGGTCAATGCCTTGATGGAGTTCGAAGATGAGCATTTTCCGCTTAGGGTAAGCAGAGATAAGCAATTTGATTGGTTGATGCTTTGGGACACGATAACTTTAGTTCTAATTAAGTGAGATTGATGAAACTTGGTGTATAGTTTCATTACAGTAATACCTTGACTAAGTTTGATAATGAGCATTTTCTGCTCAGGGTAAGCAGAGCGATACGCAATTTGATTGGTCGAGACTTTGGAAAACAATAACTCTCCTACTTTGATTGTCCCCCGCCTTTCGAAGAAAGCAGGGAACTATTAAAATGGGTTCGTCCGTCTGTCTGTTTGTCTGTCTGTCCGTTCCGCTTATGGTAAGCAAAGATAAACAATTTGATTGGTTGATCTTCGAATTGAGTAAATGTTCATGCAGAGCGATAAGCAATTTGATTTGCTGAGACTTTGGAACACAATAACTCTCCTTCGAATTGAGTTAAAATGTTCAAAATTGGTGTGTATGCTTATTGTCCCCCGCCTTTCGAAGAAAGCAGGGGACTATTAAAATGGGTTCGTCCGTCGTCTGTTTGTCTGTCTGTCCGTCACACTCCTTCGAATTGAGTTAAAATGTTCAAAATTGGTGTGTATGCTTATTGTCCCCCGCCTTTCGAAGAAAGCAGGGGACTATTAAAATGGGTTCGTCCATCTGTCTGTTTGTCTGTCTGTCCGTCACACTTTTTGGGACACAATAACTCTCCTCCCAATTGAGGTAGAAGGTTCAAACTTGGTGTAGGCCTTTATTAGGTCAATGCCTAGATGGAGTTCGAAGATGAACCTTTTCTGCGCAGGCTAAGCCGACATAAGTCATTTGATTGGTTGATGCTTTGGGACACGATAACTTTAGTTCTAATTAAGTGAGAGTGATCAAACTTGGTTTATAGTTTCATTACATGAATACCTCGATAATGAGCATTTTCTGCATAGGCCGAGATAAGCTATTTGATTGGTTGATGCTTTGGGGCACGATAACTTTAGTTCTAATTAGATGAACCTTTTCTGCGCAGGCTAAGCCGACATAAGTCATTTGATTGGTTGATGCTTTGGGACACGATAACTTTAGTTCTAATTAAGGGAGAGTGATCAAACTTGGTTTATAGTTTCATTACATGAATACCTCGATAATGAGCATTTTCTGCATAGGCCGAGATAAGCTATTTGATTGGTTGATGCTTTGGGGCACGATAACTTTAGTTCTAATTAAGTGAGAGTGATCAAACTTGGTTTATAGTTTCATTACATGAATACCTTGACTAAGTTTTGCATAAGGCTAAGCCAAATAAGCCACCAGGTAGTGCATTTTAGCAGTTGCTTTTTATCCATGGTATAAGTTATGAATAAATAATGACAATGTTGTTTTTTTTTTAAACTCTTTATTTTTCACTGTTCAAATTTTTTATAACAATAATCACATTAGTTATTATTTTGAGGGAGAATGGAAGAAGAAAAGATCATAAAATACAAAAACTATGTCTATTTATATGTGAGCAGTGAGCAAAGAATTGTGTTAAATGGTGATGGGACTTAAGATTTACATTTTTGTCCCCCGCCTTTCGAAGAAAGCAGGGGACTATTAAAATGGGTTCGTCCGTCTGTCTGTCTGTCCGTCCGTCTGTCTGTCCGTCACACTTTTTGGGACACAATAACTCTCCTTCTAATGGACCTAGAATGTTCAAACTTGGTGTGGGTGTATATTAGGTCAATGCTTTGATGGAGTTCGAAGATGAGCATTTTCTGCTTAGTGTAAGCAGAGATAAGCAATTTGATTGGTTGATGCTTTGGGACACGATAACTTTAGTTCTAATTAAGTGAGAGTGATGAAACTTGGTGTATAGTTTTATTACATCAGTACCTTGACTAAGTTCGATGATGAGCATTTTCTGCTCAGGGTAAGCAGAGCGATAAGCAATTTGATTGGCCGAGACTTCGGAACACAATAACTCTCCTTCTAATTGAGCTAAAATGTTCACACTGCTTCTAATTGAGGTAGAATGTTTAAACTTGATGTAGATGTTCGTCTTGACTGAGTTCAATGATTAACATATCGATCTCAAGCTAAGCAGAAATAAGCAATTTCCTTGGTCGATGCTTTGGGACAATATAACTTTGATTCTGTCTGATAGAGAGTGATGAAATTTAGTGTATAGTTGATAAACAGTTTGATTGCTCGATACTTTTGAAAAAAAATAGATGTGCGATTAATTAATATGTGGCATCTATTTATTTGCGGATTTCGGCGGGGGACATCAGCCTCACTGTTGGCTTGTTCAAATTGTATAAGGTTTTCAATTTACTCCACTAGCAAGTAGATATGTAACTCATTTCAGGCAAACCCTCAAGTAGTAAAGGAAGTAAATAACATTTCATCAAACTATTCCACCCTCGTAGATTGTTTAGTAATTTATTAGGCCTCATTACTCGATGGTACTTTCTGGGTTGAATCCTTCAACCACAGATTCTAGAATAACAATTATTATAGGCTAAATTGACATACTTTTAAAGGGAATAAAAATCAGACCTTTCACTTCAAATTTTGACATATCTTGTTTACCTAAAGCAAGATATTTTTTCAAAATATAAGACAATTTCTAACATTATCCTAATATTTATATATTTTTAACACTTAAAGCTGTAAACTGTATTTAATATGGTTTTATGAATTTCAGCAAAAATAAGAAGTAAATTATCTATCAGAACAAAATCTAACAGTAGTACAACAACTACAGATAGCTCGAAACAAAGGTCATTATTTTATACTGTTATCTTATTTACTAATGAATTGTTTATTTATGATTTCAATCATATATTCAACATAATCATAGACTTGCTGTATTCTCACTGATCAAAACTGCATCTTTTTTCTGTCTTTAAATATTGAAGACTTTCTCTGTATGTAACTGTGCTCTATTGCCAGTAAACTTATTAAGGCCTGAAATGTCAGTAAAAGTTATTATTCTGTATACAGATATTAAGTGATTATTAAAGATTTCACAGTGTTAAATTTTTCAAATTGTGCATATTGATCTGAAGAGTACAAATGCTACACATGCATACATGTTTTATGGACCCATAGCCTGATGTATATAATATGTTTTCAGCCCAGAAATACCATTATTAGTGGGAAAAGAACAGATTGGTACATCAAGTTCGACTAGTTATGTTAGTAAGTTAGAACCAGGTAAGTACAAAGTAAATCACAATTAGTCTGAAGCAGTCTGTAGCTTCACATACATAACCCCAACATCCAAATCATTGAGAAAAATATGACACAAAATTAGTATTAAGTTTTCATTTATCATGATTCACCAACAAGGTAAAATGCCTCACTATGGAATAATCTAGCACAATCAGACAACTTGTATCAAAATGCATATTTGTGGTCAACTACTAAATCGATGTACTTCATTTATATTTTCAAATCCAATAGGAATTGAGCGTAACCCAATTTATCAAAATAAACAGTTAAATTGACACTTTTTGTTCCTTTATTAACTGCCCAACAAAACCTATTATTATATTTTATAGGTTCTGTTGTTATGGCTAAATGGAAAGATGGATATTTTTACCCAGGCAAAATAGTTACCCTAGAAACAAAAAGGTATGGCACTGCCAGTTCTGTTTGAAGAGAAAAACCCCACAGCAATACTTTCTGACTCTTATACTATGCATACCATACAATCTTTATTCAAAAACTGCATTTATAATAATCTCTCATTACAGATTATTGTTTCTTCTTATCTGGTTTAAAGAAGATGTTTCAGTTCAAATTTGAATAAAGTATTGCTTGAATCCAGTCTTTAATAGAAGAAATGACATAGGGTTTAACGTCCTACTGTCTGCTCCGACTGGGATAATGAAGACAGGTCTTTAATAGAGAAATATCATCTGTATATGTGTATGTTTTAATAACTCTCACAAAATTTTCATTTATGAATGGTTTATATATAAATTTGTACGTCTTCAGAATCAGAGTGTCTTTTGATGATGGTGATCTACGTTATGTGAAAAATCCAGACGTTCTCTTGCTTAACCAATTGCCGATTGGTCAAAGTGTAATGGTATTATCTAATGATGGTTATTTTGATACAGGCATGATTTTGGATTGTGTGACTGTATCAAATGAAGTGCAATATGAAGTAGAAAAAGATAATGGTCAAAAACAAAGGTTAGTCATGGGATTTTTTTAGTTGTGAATGAATGGCAGTGTTATTAAAATTTAAATTACCCCTTCCGTTTCTCTATCGCTATATATAACATTTATATTTATACTGCAGTAATATCTAACATTATCTTTATGAAGTTTGTGTTCAACTGACCAGACTTGATCCCTCATTTAGCCAATGAGTTGTTGTGATTTTGTTTTTTCCAACTTTGTCAGAAGTTATACTTGTACTTCCCTTCTCAAGTCTGCTGGTTAGTGTGTTGTCTGGCATTTGAAGAAATAAAATGCTGATATATTGTATGTGTTTTATCATTTTAGATATTCTCACAGTCAAGTTATATTAAGTGAAGGTCAAGCAGCATGTTTAATGAGTGATGAAGAAATACGTATTTCACCACATGGACCTGTAGGGTCTACTTTTATTCAATTAGCAGATGTATCTTTAGGTTAGTTTTCAAAGCAATCATATTACAGAGAAAAATAGGAAATTTATTTAGTTCAATATTTGTCGATTAAGTATTTACTGCCATTACAGTGAATCACCAATCCATAGATGACCCTTAATCTTTTGAGTTGCATTTAGTAATTGAGAAACACATTAACTTAACACAATTTTTATGGTTTTATTACTCAAGCATGACATTTCGACAAGTATCGTCTTGTCATTATCAAGTACATTAAGACGATACTTGTCGAAACATTGTGCTAAGGCATTAACGACAATGGGTTACTTGTTGGAAGTTGTACTTGTGTCATATAACTGTTTCCAATGGAATTTGTGTTCTGTTAAGATATGATTTTTGAAAACAATTTTTTGCTTTGTTTATAATGCTTGCACAACCTTGTTTCAGATAACCTTATGGAAGGTAAAAGAAGTCGTTCAGCTTCTAAGAATCCTCCTAAAGAACAAAAGCCATCTCTGCCTGAACCTGAATCAACTGATGTCAAAAGGCGTGGCAGAAAACGTAAATTACGTGAAGGTGGGCCGATGGCAACCAGTACACCTACCCCAAAAGGGAAAAAAGTGGAAGAAACTGATAAAGGTTTGTACCATAATTAGTATTTTGAATCAAAATGTTTTTAAAAGATACCAAGATTGGTTTAGAGGGAAGATCATGTGTAATTATTGACTGTTATTATCTAGGATTTTGCAGTTTGCAGTGATACAAGGATGTGAAATAAGCCAATTGTCCTGATTAGAAACCTATAAAACTAAACAAAATTAGTGAAAATTTAGCCAATCTGACCAATGAGCCTATTTCATACCCTCTATTGTCATTCTGTCTGTTAACCTGTTACATATTCAACTTCTCCTAAACCTTTTGAAGGATTTTAACAAAATTTCGTAGATAGATTGCACATATTTGTTAAAATGAAGTTGATTGACCACTTTGTCATTGACTCTGTATTTCCACACATTGGATTTGTCTTTATCCACTGCATTAGCCCTATAGGGGTGGGATGGGATGGAGGCATTTTCACAAATTTTAACTTTTTCTTGACGATATGAGGCTTCCACCAAAATTTAACAGGGTTGTTGCAAATGCCGATATTTTCTTATCTTCTATACTAATATTTGTGACTGTCGTTTGTCTGTCTGTCTGTTTGTCTGTCTGTTCGGGGTTTGCGGCTACACTAGATCTGCCCGCCGAGTCTGAAATTTGGGGTATAGGGGTAGCTCGACCGGGGAGTAACATAGGCCAGGTGGCGTTAGTCTACCACTTCCGGTTTCGGGGTTATGACCCCCGAGCGAAGCCCGGCACTCTTCTAGTTAATATATATTGATAGCCTAACATATATAGTCACCTAATAGTAATATATATTTTTATTTATTAAGTAGATAACCAACCATCTTCATCTGTAGCAGGGGTAATTGATTCACCATCCACTAGCTCAAGAAAATCTAGTCCTCGTAAATTTAGAGTGGGTAAGGAATTCAAAGCTTGCTATATTATTTGTTTGAATGTTTGAAATTATAGCAGTAAAGGGTTGAATCATTCATCTCAACTGTCCAATAAATATAAATTTTTATCTTAGTATCATGTGATAGAGGACTAACTCTGCTTGATTTGTAATTTTCAATGATGATATACAAGACTACTAGGATTTTGATAGACTGAATAATTAAGACTAGTAACTCATTGTGGTTTTTTTTTGCGTAGGTCTGTTTGAAAGTAGTAATGACAGTACAACAGTTAAAAAGACTTTATTTAAGGGAATAGCTTTTATACTCACTCATGTTACTAAAACAAAAGAACAGAAAAGGGAAGAAAAGAAGCAACTACAGGATTCTTCATTAGAAACCTCTACAGATGAAAACTCAGCAGATGGTACGTAGGTTTGGGTTTTATATTTTAAGTGTAAACTTTGATGTCATATGAAACCAGTACTCAAAAACTGATCTAAAAAATAAACACACAATGTCACTGAACAATAAAATGAAATGAGGTTTATCACCGCGTGGGCTAATGAGGACAGGCTTAGGCAATAGTCTGGACAGCGGTGCTATGACCTATTCTTATTTCGAATTCCAATTATCCAGGGTTGTTTTTTTTTAGGTGCACCTCATTTTTTTGTTATATCCAAACGACTAGAAACTGTTTTGCCAGGCCTCTGTCCTGCACCACTGACAAGGGAAAAACGGTGCAACTAAAATCCAGAGGATCTTTCTCTGCCAACATTGAGAGCAAATCCGAGACCTCCTGGTTAGCGAGCCAGTGTCTTACTCACTGAGCCATTGCGACTCCCGTTGACTTCGTTGAAATTATCATTTGCAGCTCAAAAATCCAAACTCAGAACATAAAATAGCACATGACATACTGACCATGAAAAATGAAACTAATATGTTTGGTATTAACATGCATATTTCACTCTGTAATGATTAATGTGCTATAGTGTTTGGTTTTTCACCAGTTTTTGTCATCTAAAGTCTCTTTTTGTTATGAGGATTTCACAGCATGTGCTAACAACCTGTGTAGCATATTGAAAGTTATCATCCAGTTCCCATATTAATTAGCCCAGTAGGAACAGAACAGTAGGATGTTTCGTTACATTTCACTTCATTTCTTGTCCAGTGACTTATATGGTAATCAGCACTATAATCAAATACACCTTTAATCATATAATGTTACTTTCTATTAAGCCAACCTCCAGATTTCGTCAGGGTCACGAGATATAAACAGGGCTAGCCCTAACCCTAGACCCAGCCCTTACCCAAACCCACAATCCTCGACAACAATCACGTGCTCTAACCCTGTTTACATCACGTGACATTGACGAAATCTGCATGTGGCCACTGGCCTTAATATTTTGATCTGATCCATTGTAAACACAGTGAGATGTTGTACTTTATTATTTTTCATTCCAGAAGATGATAGTCTTGCTTTTAATAAAGTAGAATTATCAAGATTAATCAAAGCTGGTGGAGGAATTTTATTAGACAAATATGACCAAGATAAAGTAAGTTATACATTTAATTTAAAAGGTACCATGTGTAAAATAAATTATTTGGACAGAATGTTCTATATGTGAGCATGACCATTGTTTATTTGTGTCTTTCTCCAATATAACCAAATTTTAAAGAGAATATAGATAGACTGTCGAATATTAGACCATATTAAAAGTACACTGAGTGAGTGAGATATGTACCAACATGACATCAAGTTCAGGTCCACTGTTCATATTATCTTCTTTTCCTGCCATTGAAAGGCAAGTCTTGTGTTGTTTTATTTGAATTCACTGTCAGTGGACAAAATAGTAGCAGTTCATTATGATTTTTCTTTCTTCAGATAAATGAGTATGATCAGTGTTTTATAATATCAGATTCACATCAGAGAACCGTGAAATATCTCCAGGGATTATCAGCAGGTTTACCATGTGTATCACATTTATGGATTACTTTCTGCTGTTCACAGGTAAAACCAAAATTTATTACATACTAAATGATTTGGGAATATAATTTTAACAAAAGGTCATAGAATTATTCAGTTAACTTGAAAATAAATATTTAATAACCATTTGTCTGATAACCATAGAAAAATAAAAGTATGTTACTACATATTATGGATGGCAGCATCTTCACCTTGTCAAGTGCAAAATATACATGTACTGTAAAATATACATCCTCGACTGGTATGGAGTCACTTTTCTGATTGTATGAAGCAATATCTAGTCAATAATATTGCATGAAATAAAACGTCTCATTGACATTTTGAGACTAGACAAAACTAACTTAATGTAGTACAGTATGTCTTGACAATTTGAAATTTCTTGGACACACACGAAAATATCTTTTAACCTGTTTTTTCTTATTACAGGATAAAATACTTGATTTTAAATCTTATATTCTACCAGCTGGCATTGATTTAGAGAAGAAAAAAATTGCAGAATGGTAATTACATTTTTAGCTCCAGGTGTAAAGTTATCTCCCCTTAGACCACATGAAAGAACTGCTTTATGTAGGGTGCTCACTATATCTGATCGGCCTTTCAGCTTGTTCTATCTGTTATCAGGGTCGCTTGTGCACAGCAGACAGCAAACATTCGCTCAAAATAGACACTAGTGGGTAATCCACTAGTAACATCAATGCTGATTGGTTAATCAAATGTCTGAAGTCATAGGGTCAAAAGCCGCTCATATGACCTCTGACGCAACCTATCGCTACAACCGGGCAGATCTTCATGTAGTGTAGGCCATTGAAAGTATAAAAAAAACAAAATGAAATGTAGATCTGTATTTTAATGAGATTGTTATTTATCATTGAAGCCATGAAAAAAATGTCTATTTTACGTACTGGACTTTTAAAAATACATAGTTACAAACTTGATAAAAACTTTGGCTAAATCTTGACGATTTTATTTTTTATTTAATTGAACATAACCAATGATGTATACATTGTAACTGTTTTCGGTTCCGAGTTACCTGATGTAGTTTTGTCCTTTTTCTATTTCTTAAACTAATGATCGCGGCAACTTACCAACACTGCTAGACTGTGAAATTTACTTTTATTTAACCATAAAACCCAGTGGTGGATTGCCGGCTTAGTGAGTTTAGGAGATGGGTTGTTGCTAGATTTAAATACACAGAAAAAAATTGCAACATGAAAATAACCGAAACAAAGCTGGTATTCGTAGTCTTCATTTTCCAGACACTTGTTAGGGTTTCACACTGCATAGTGTGAAACATTATTTTTTTGTTTAGATTCTTATTCTTCTTATTATTTTATTTTCCATTTGAGCACATCTCAGAAACTACTTGTCGGATTGATTTTCATAAAATTTTCACCATGTATTGTCTAATGCCATTTACGATTCCATAAAGCTAATTTAACATTTTCATTATCATCGGAAGTAATTCATTTTTGCAAAATCTGTATTTTTAGCCTCCAAAACAAATATTTGTTTTTAATTAGTGACATTCTTAATTCGTTTAAAATTATATTTGATTTCAATGGACAAATAATATGAATTCATACGATCAAAAAGATATCAAAAAAGTGTTTCTAACATTTTCCCTTGCCAAGAAATAACCACTTTTGTCTGGATCACTCTTTAGGATTTTTCGCATTTTAATAAGGCTTAAGAATTAATTCTGTTCAAATTTTAATAAATTTTATGTCAGACGAAAGACAATCGAATTGGTTATTTCTGTATTCCAATTTAAATATTTTGTTGATAACGTGAGCGATGCCATCGTGTCGAGTCTTGTATAAATGATAAATGAAACTGATATTGCGAGATTTATTGGCTAATTCTGTGTCCATACACTCATGTGGAAATCGGTTTAACATTTCCACTGGTATACGAGAAGTGGCGCCAGTTAAATGGTAATGTGGCACCTGTGAAACCCGCCATCACTGCATCGCAGTTCTTGGCGGTTATGAAATTCTTGTATGTGCATTGTATGCGTACACATGTTAAATTCAATCGCCATTTGCATGTACAAAAAATAACAAAGAGTCCCAAATGCAGAAATTGAAAATTTGTTTCACTAGTTTCAGATCAACTTGTTGAGATTTTAATGTGACCAAGGACCTTAACACTTTGTGACAAAACATCTGCCGCCGCAACGCGCAATGGCAGAACAAAATTTCAACAAGATGAAAACAAACTTTCAAATGGTTAAATCACACAAAAATCTAACTTAGCAATACTTTAATTGTTCATGAATGATGTTTTTAAAGGCAAGTCTCATCATGTATGTTAAAATAAGCCTCAAATATAGCTTGTTTATTGCATATTTTTCTGTATGTGGATCACCCTATCTTATGCATATAAAGTTATTCAGTGAATGAGTAATACATTAATATCTATTGGATCTGTTCCTGTTATAATTTAGAGAGAATCTTCTTTACACTTTTATTTATTTCAGGAATAGTCGTGGTAGTTGTTTGGCTGGTATGAATGTTATGGTACATTCCTCAAGCAAGGAATTTGTTAATGCTTGGTCATCTATTTTAAGTATAGGGCGGTGTAATCTATATACACGTTTTCCTACTGTTAAAAGTAAGACTTCTTTGCATATTATCAATAATAACTGAACTAAAAATTTCAGTTACCTAGCAATTATAAGATCGAAGCTAAGATACAATCAACATTATTGTTAAATTGTGATGATGACAGAGTTTAAGATATTTGTATCAAAATTTGAAACTTTGCCAGAATTGTTTTACATTAATTTATTTCAAATTAACAGAGGAGAGGAAAAGAAAATGATATATATAATATATATGTGTGCATTTAATACAGCATGTGAAACCAATTATGAAGGGAAACGATGTTCCAAGGAATTATAAGCAACAAGTGGCTGAATGTGATTGACCGTTTGAACAAAATTGACTGTATATGTATAATATGTATATTTGCAGGTAATATAAAACTAGATGTTGTGATATCCGACAGTACTTGTACAAAACAAGTAAAGAAAAAAGCTGAACAGTTATCAGTTCCTACAGTATCAACAGAATGGGTTATACAGTGTCTTATTACAGGGCGTATTGTTGATGCTTGTGGTCATCCCAGATATAAAACAGATTTCCATGCTCCAAAATAATCCATGATGGACATTTTTGGAATATTTTCTTTTTTAAAGTGCTAAAAAGTTGGTTTTAATCATGTTTTAATAATGTCAAAAATAAATGTCTCATAATAATTAAACCAACGTAAAGTCTTCACTGATTGTTAGAATATCTTTTTGAAATAACTGTGTGATCAAATAGAATTACAACATATATGCACCATTGTATTTCATTTATTCTTTTGGATGTAAAATTTGTTATTGTTCACACACAGAATAATGTTTATACTTGCCCAGTTTGTTATTTAAGTAATATGGTATATTGATGGATGTTTTTTGTTTATGTAAGTGATGTGTTCAAGTACTTTATATTACCAGTTATTTCAAAATCGTGTTTTTACAATGCTGGGGATTATTTGTTGTTAGCCTATTTGGTCTAAATTTCTATGTCAATATGTTTCATCCTTCCTGTGAAAAATTGAAGCTAGACTTCTGAGAGTCTATAATCAAAAATCATCACAGCATGGTAAACTTTTAAAAAAGTCAAAGTTTATTGTAATCATTTAATACAACAAAATATTATTTAATAATATAATATATTCCAATATGTACAATGTATGTATGGATGTAGTATATAAAAGATTTAACATATTACATTATATGAAATAATTCTAATGGTATATTTTTAAAATCATTTTTAATATGGAAAAAAATATGTATATAAAGGTTTGCATGAATTTTTTTTATGCAAACTTTTAACTATAATAAATTATTTGTACATAAAATAAAAAGAAAAAATAACAACTTTATAAAATGTATGTATTCAAAAACGAAATTGTTTCAGATATGTCAATCTTGGTAATAAAAAAAATCAATGATCTTTTAATATCAATAACTTTTCAGTTTATATATTTGATTATATTCTGGTACATTAAATGAGCAGTCCTATATATATTTGTGAATAAAGCTTGTAAGGTCCTACAGAAGTAATAGTCTGGTTCTCAGATAATCTTCCAAAATGTGTATAAATCGTAAATAGGCAGAGTTGTCTTACTTTGAATATTATTGTCATCAAGCTTTATATTTAAAAATTATATGCCTTGTCAAGCAACTAGTATATACCACAATGGTTATATCATTACACAGCACTGATTGTATTCAATAAAAACTTAATCGTATGAAGAAGAATAATAATATTGTTTTACAGTTAGTTTTTATACGCCCACATTTTCATGTGGACGTATATTGTTGTTGCTCCTGTCCGTCCGGACGTCCACAATTTGTTTGTGGACACTCTACAGGTCACAATTCTTATACGATTTTGATGAAACTTGAAATATAGGTTTATCTCCAAAAGATCTTGGTTCATTTAGATATTGGCATGTATTGGATCAAAACTTCATTGATTATGGCCCCTGATTGTATGAAAAATCACGTTTTTAGCTTGTGGACATTCTAGAGGCCACAATTTTGATGAAACTTTAAATTTATGTTTATATCACAAAGATCTTAATTATATGGTATATCAAGGGTGTGGATTTTGATGAAACTTGAAATACATGTTTATAACCCAAAGATCTTTGTTCCTTTTGATATTCGCACATATCCGAACGTAACTTATGGCCCCTGATTGTTCGAAAGACTGCATTTTTTAGCTTGTGGACCTGTATTCAATTTTAAAAAATGTTTAAATATATCACTGTTACACATCAATGAAGGTTGAGTTCAAAATTCGTAAAAATCTAACCCAAACTGCTGGACAAAATGCCAGCTCCTTGTACGCAAATAGTGTAAAAGTATGTAATACAAGGTTGTGGAGACTCTAGAAGTTCACAATGTTTATCCGATTTTGATGAAACTTGAAATGTATGATTATAATCCATAGATCTTGGTTCCTTTCCATATTTGTGCATATAGTACGGTAACTTCCCAATCTGATTAAAATACAAATCTATATTTCATTTTGTTTTTTATACTTTCGATGGCCTACACTACATGAAGATCTGACAAGTTGTACTATAAGGTCGTTTCAGGGGTCGTACGAGCGGCTTTTGACCCTTAGACGTCAGACATTGATTAATCAATCAGTGTTCACGTTTCTAGTGGTTTACCCACAGTTCCATGCATGGCATGCCAAGAAGTCGATGTAACAGTCTGTTTCATTGGCTTATCCCTCACTTCAACCAAAACGCTGGTAATACAACAACTCTTCCAGATCCTAGTGTAGTGAAGACAAGTAATATGAAATTTTGAACTATAAAAAACCGATTGGTAACTTCCTGGATTATATCCCCTGATTGTACGAAAAATCATGTTTTTAGGTGGATCCTCTAGAGATCACAATTTTTATCCGATTTTAAAAAGTGTTTAAATGTATCGCCGTCACACCTTAATGACGGTTGAGTGCGAAAATGGCCGCTACTTGTACGCAAATAGTGAAAATTATGTAATACCAAGGTTGTGGACTCTCTTATAGAAGTCACAATTGTTATCCGATTTTGATGAAACATAAAATATATCTTTATATTCCAAATATCTCAGCCCATTTCGATATATTTGAGCATTTCAGGCTATAACTTCCTGGATTATGGCCCCTGATTGTAGCTTGTTCTCTATCCATCTCTTGCAAAATGTGGGCGTATCTTGCCTGGCAACCGCTGGTTTACTCTAGGGTTTTACTTCTGAATCGTGCTGATATGTTCTGAAACATTGTATATATTATATGATGGCAAATAAGAATTGAATTCTAACAGATGATAATCATTTACATCACTTACATTGTCATGATTATAGTCTGTGTTTGGAATGTACGATGGACCAGGATAGGGAGGAGGGGGAATGTTATAATGATAATTATCCGGATGAATCTGCTCATTAAATGATGTATCAATGAAATATCTTGTACTGGTATTATAATCATTCTTCTCCTTCGGGATAGTCATAAAGTTATCCATAGTGGAATAATTCTTATTCTGACTTGGTGTATCATATTTTGTATATTCAGGAATCATTTCGGCTGGACCAATCATTGTATTATTTATCTGATTCATATTAACATTTTGGGATGAAATCACCTCTGTTGCTCTTATATCTGGATGTTGGAAATCTGAAGACTCTTTCTCTTGTTTTTTAAGTCGAGCTTCAATATTTCTTACTGTCGATTCTGATCTGTAACTTTTTGTAGATTGTTTGTCATGTGATTTTATATGACGTTTTAACTTACTATTTGATATAAAAGATTTACCGCATACATTGCATAAGTATGGTTTGTCACCTGTATGTATCCTGGTATGAACTTGTAATCCAAATTGATCGTAAAAACATTTCCCACACGGTTGACATTTATATGGACGGATTGTACTGTGTTTTCGAGTATGTTTATGCAAAGAACTGCTTTGAGTGAAATTTTTTCCACATATTTCACAAATATAATTAGATGATTTGTTTAAATTTTCCTTTCGTTTTACGTTTTGTTTAGTTGAACACTGCTTTTCATGTGCATTGAATCCTCTTTGGGTTGCAAAGAGTCTTAAACATTTTGTGCATCGGAAACCATTTTCCGGATTCTGACTAACATGTGATTGTAGATGTGCTTTGAGAAGATTTTGTTGTTTAAATGTCTTGTTACATTTCTGACAAACAAACGTACTTAAACATGTAGCTTTTTGGGTATGTTTTCTGAAGCCATTCTTTGAAGAAAATGTTTGATTACATTTGTTGCATCTTATATAAGAATCACTATTTTTAGTGTTAATGATGTGTCTTTTCATATGAATATTAAAAGTCTTCTCTTGGGTGAAATATTTAGCGCATGGATCACAGGAAAAAGCTGGAGGCCCACAAACACCTAATCTGGCATGAACCAGGTATGTTGAACGACTTACAAACTGTTTAAAACAAGACTGACATGAAAATTTTCCTGAAGGCAGTTGGTTTAAGTGGGTTTGTTTGTGAATGTTCAATGAATACAAGTTATTGAAAACTCTCTGACATTTATGACATGTAAATGTTCTAACTTTGTTCAGGGCATGTTGGTGTGAGATATGTCGCTTTAAGCTGCCTTTGGTGGTCAAATTTCTTTCACATATTTCACACCTGAATTCATCAGATCCATTAGATTTGACAGTTAATAAGGTGTTAGGGTGTATGTTATCTGTAGATTTTCTTGTCTCAGGTAATGGTATTGGTGGTTTTGCCATATCTCGAGTCATATCCTCTTTATTATACATATTAACCTCATCCTCTACACTGTTATCTTCTTCATTATCACTATCATAATCACAATTGCTGTCGTGAGCCGTTGATACACTACTCATTACGTTCGCTGGATCATCTTCAACATTTTTTGAATTCAGCAGAATTTCTTTATCAATCTTTGTGGAGTTGTTAATTGAAAGTTTGTTGGCTGCATTTATTTGCTGAACAAATTTTATCTGTCTAAATCTTTCTGTAGTAGATCTAGCTTTTCTAGAATTTTTGATGGATTTATTCTGATAACTGCAGTTTGAGTCCTCAATAACTTCAGTCATTATTTTTTCTCTTTCATAGTTGATCAAGTTTTTCATATTTTTACTGATAAGTTTTATTAGTTTACATCTGATTGATTTAATAAGTTCCTCAATATCTGTAGCATCTTTTTCGTAAGTAATCTTTATCAAGAATGGTTCCTCTTCTATCTGGAAAACATAAAACTAATCATTAATTAGAATACTACAATACATGAGAGAATAGAAAGTCACATGATCAAATTAAAACATATCAGTACTGGTAATTACAATACAATTATAGCTATTTTTTCGAAAGATTTGTAAAAGATCATGAGTCTCTAATTGACATCTCTAAGTTTGTAGTGAATGTGCATTATCAGCAAGTGGTTTTACCGGTTTATTATCAAATGGACTTTTGACATTGGGTTTTGTTGTGTAATAAAACTTGTAAACTTTTTTGGAAAATTAAGATGTCACTAATTAAAATAATCACATGAAATCAAACCAGTTCAAAGTGGTTTAGCTTGAAAAGGGGGACAAAAAACAGGACACTGAAACACACACATAATATTAATACCCGTATTAAAATTTAAAAAAAGTCAATCTCTGAATAGGCCCTACCTGATTAGGCCCTAATACTTAGTAATAAATAATACAATAATTACAAATTTGTAACAAATACCGTGGCCTACCTTTGTCCTTTTTCTATTTTTCATAATGGTGTGTTTAGAATCATTGGCTTCAGGATATTTATTTACAATTATACAAAACTTAAGAAACAGTTCTGTTTTAGACTCGCAACTTTCCATGTTTCCTGTCTTGATTTCGATTTCGATGGTGATGTTTTGTTTACAATCTGATGTTGATCAAAGGGAGGCAACGCGTGCATTTTTCAGGATTGTCATTTTACTTCCGGTTGCTAATAAAATTTGGAGGGAAAGAGAGGAGAAATTTGTCATTGCTTGCTATTACATTTCTTTTCGCCAAATCCTGGTATTTTCAGGTAACTAAAATACACGGATATATAGATATGTTGTGCACCAGTTATCAATGAATTCTTCGGTTGATAGCTTAGGTCATTTTTGGACCTTCTATGTCCAGGCTAGTCTAAAACAAGAACGAGAACAACCGGAAAAGCCATATTCATAGCGTCTTTTCATTTATTCTGGATCTAACCAAAGCTTACCCTCTTCTTAATAGAAACAACTAATTAATAAAAGCAAACAACTTGTATTATAGTTTCCCACGTTCTGTTTCATTAGATCTAGAGAAAAACAGAAATATTGTAGCCTTTGGTAGGCTACGTAGTACCTCATATCAGGTGCCTGTATCTCTATCTGTGAATATTAGTACCAGTAGTGGCAGTACTACTACACTTAGTATAGTAATTAAGTAATAGTAGTTGGTAGTAGCCTATTTAATACCGTAGAAATTTAAAACATTTTTAAAAACGGGTTTAACATCCTACTTTTCTTGTGAGCCACGGTGGCTCAGTGAGTAAGACATTAGATTGCTAACCGGGAGGTCCCATGTACTTCTATCCTGGTGTTGGCCGAGCAAGTTCATCTGTTGTTACGGGAGGACCTGGCAAGGGACAACATATAGTCGTTAGAATCAGACGAAAAACCAAGGTCTAGTGTATACAGTGGCATGTACGTAAAAGAATTATTACTTGACAGTTGGAATTCGAGTAGGAGTTTTCTAATTAAGTTCCACAAACATCATCCACAATTTCTTGTAAACATCTGATTATTTTGTATTTTGACGTCATTGTTAGCTGTCGCCTAATAATCTTTCAATGTTTTCAAATTTTTTTATCTCAATGAATGTATGAGCATGTACAAAACACTAAAAACTGATGAAACTACATGTTGTTTCTTTCTTTTATAGAATCCATTTATCTGTCATGGAGGGTAAAGTACCAAACACATTACATCCAAAACCAAGTTGTAAAATGGTTTCAATTTTACCCAAGGACATAAGGAAAATAAATCTAATGGAACGTGTCCCAACACAAACAATATCTGTTCAGACTATCGTGGATGAAGTAACACATAATGATACACCAGATATTACAAGTTTACCTAGTACTCCTATAAAGTCAACTACAGTCAAGAAGCCTGACCAAATTCAAAAGACAATATATGAAGCATTTTTTAAAGTAGTAGGATATCGAAAGGTTACTGTACAGACCATTTCATCAGATGGTAAAGTGGTGAAATCTAATGTTGAAGAGGTGAGAAATGAATATCATGCAACATTCTGAATTAATATAAATGATTCAAATAACATCCCAAATCCTGTAGGGAATGACCCTGAATGTATCTCTGTAAAATATCTCCTCTGAAAAATCTCTGCATGATTGACCTGTAAAATAACTAGTCTGGTGTAATTTCTGTATGACTGGCCTGTAAAAAAACCCCAAGTCTTTCACGATCAGCCCGTACGGTAATTTCTCTTGTGAATCTTTGTATGAATATTTGCCCCTATTCACCTGTAAAATTAATAGTCTTATAAATGTCTTGTCAAATAAACCTACAATTTATAAAAGTACCTTACTGTTTATCAATGCAACTATTGTTCTGACAGTCACAATCTATCCTAACTTAAACATATATTTTCTTTTATCTGTTTTCAGGTTGAAGGAGATTCTCAAATAATCAACATCAGTAAACAAGAGAAGATTAATGAGAGCATTTCTAAATTCCTTGTTAAAAAACCAGACCAGTACATTTTGAAAGATGATTTCTTAGGCAAAACCAATTTCAGCACTACAATGACTATAAAATGTCCAACCTTTTTACAAGGGGGCAAGGAACGAGCTGTTCAGCCCATTGAAACAGTTGCACAAAATCCACCAGTCAATCCAAACATGAAAAATAATCTCAGCCCAGTAACGGTAATAAAAAAGCAAACCCCCAAATCAGGAGGCGAGAACTTAAAAGTGTTACAAGCAGACATCCATTTTCAAATGAAAAGGAAGATTGATTTTGATAAAACCCCCATAAAGAATGAAAATAATAGCGATGATGAACATGATAATTTTGAGACAGAAGCTGGACATTATGAAAAAACAACTGACAATGAAAACGTAACTGCTACAGAAAAGGTAGCCAATGAATCACCAAAATCATCTTTGAGAAGATCCAAACGTAACACAGGTGAGTTACCCAAGAATGATGTAGCAAAATCTCCTTCGCATTCAGCAACTGAAAATCAAGAGAAAGTATCAAAAATTGTCTCTGATAAATCACCTAGCAAAATGCCTACCAAGAAAGTAGCACCTGTAAATAAAGCTGAAAAAACAATACCAAAAGAAGCAAAAGCAATGGTAAAAGATTTGGAAAAACCTAATAATGCCAGTAAATCGATTCCAAATAAAGTAATAAAAAGGCCAACAAACAATAGTGATGAGCAAACTACTGAAATAAAAGATTTGGAAAAACCTAATGTCAACAGGTCTATTCCAAATACAGGAATTAAAAAACCAATAAAAACCAGTGATGAGCAAACAACTGAAGTAAAAGATTTGGAAAAACCTAAGAATATCAACAGATCAACTCCAAATAAAGGAATTAAAAGACCAATAAACACTAGTGAGGAGCAACCTACTAAAATAAAAGATATGGAAAAACCTAGTGCCAACAGGGCTACTCCAATTAAAGGAATAAAGAGACCAACAAACACTTGTGAAGATCAAACTATTGAAATACCAATAAAAAGAGAGAGTAAAAGACAAAGGAAGCCTACATGGAAATGGAAAGAAATGACAGCAAAGCAAGAGATTACAGAAGATGATGATAATAGTGTCAAACAACAAAAGGAAACGAAGACACCATTGAAGACACCAACAAAAACAGACAGACAGACTACAACTTCACCAAAAGTTACTAATATAACCGATGCAACCCAAGTAGATGAAAGAATACCAGTACCGTTGACTCCTAAAGTCATAATCAAACAAGACCCAGATGGAATTATTCAGGCCATTACATCTGTTTCTTCAGATGCTCCTGCAAGAAATGAAGAAACCTCAACTGAATCATTATTGGCAAAAGCTATATTATCTTTATCGGAAGGCAGTGATAACAAGGAAGCATCTCCAGTTGAACCTGTTCCTGCGAATATAGTTAAAACAGAAACTACCAAAACTTTGACAGATTCCATAAATCAAAATGAAGATGCACTTGAAAAGGAATCTATTACCATTACACCATTGCCACCATCCGATACAATGGATTCTAAGAAAGGCATCCTTCCTGATAATAATGTTGATGATAATGAAACTGACTTTTCTATATTTGATGATGATGAATATGAGAAGAGGTTTGGTAGTAAATTTAAATCCATTATTAGATTACATACCTGTAAATTTTGTCCAAAAAAATATCAAACCAGAACAGGTCTTCTAAGACATCTCCAAAAACATCGAAAGAAAACAGATGTAAAAGATGTTTGTAAGGTTTGTAAGAAAGAATTTGACAGTAAATATCTGTACGAGATGCACTTAACTACTCATGAACATGAGATAGAGGATGGTAGACACAAGTGCCAACTTTGCCAGAAAGCTTATTCTACGCGAAGTGGTCTTCTGAAACATCATAGAACGGATAAATTTTGTAAGTTGGATTGTAAATTCAAATGTGAATACTGCCACTCATCATTTTCAAATGAAGTGTCTTTAGAAATTCACAGACGTAAACATCTACTTGCTCCTCGAGAAAGAGCACATTCATGTAAAAAATGTGAGAAAACATTTGAGACAGTAGGTGGATTGAATAAACATTTGCGTAATAAAGCATGTGAGACAACTCTAACATGTGAGTACTGTGGTAAAGTTTTCAACAATAAGAATTTATATACAAAGCATTTGAAAGTTCATACGCGTATACCTGCCGAAGGGGGTGTTTGTGAGGATTGTGGAAAGACATTTGCAACAAGTATCGCATTAAAAAGTCATAGAAATAGTCATCTAAATATACGCAATTATACATGTCAAGATTGTGGTAAATCCTTTGGACAGAAAGGTACACTTGTTTCTCACAGACGTATTCATACAGGTGAACGACCATATCTTTGTGTAACTTGTGGAGCCACCTTCCGGTACAGTTGCCATCTGACTCAACATACTAGATCTCATACGGGAGAAAAACCATACGGTTGTCACGAGTGTGAACGGTTCTTTTCTTGCAAACAGTCTTTAAAGAAACATGTCATTTCTCATGCAAACAGGCGTAAAAAGAGTCTAAATAAACTAGAACACATGAACATAGAGGTAAAACAGGAGTACATTGATATTACTAATGTAGTGAATCCAACCACAGAAGAAATCGTTTTTCTTAATGCCATCACAGGAGAGGAGGAAGGAACTACCACTCAGTATATTTACACAACAGAAGATGGAGAAGAAATACAGGGTTACTTAGCAGATAGTACAGATACAGTTGTTACTGGTGATTCACACATACAATATCATGATTCTCAAAATGTTGTCTATCAAACAATAGAAGGTGAAAATGTGACTATAGTTGATGAAATGGAAACTTCTGATTTAAATATTTTAGCAGAAACTGCGGAAAATTATGAATCTCCATCTGTGACATATGTTATTGTTAAAAAGTGAAAAACAGTTTGCTGTTTTGGAAATTATAATCATTACCATACTAATTTTGAATGGTCAAAATTGTACAATTTGGAGATTAAAATTTTAATGGTTAATCTGAACAATGTGGATATACTATATTTGAACCCAACAAAGATATGTCACTATATCACTTAATGAAGCTTTGCAAGACTTAAAATTATTTAAATTAAATATTTCATCAATTTGTTTGTGTAGGCTTTACATTTGATTATAAAATTGTTTGTTACTACATTATGTTTGTGTAGGCTTTACATTTGATTATAAAATTGTTTGTTACTACATATTATGTTCATGCTATTAAAATCATGTCGTTTCATGTTATGTATTAAAATCAATTACCGGTATGTGCATTAAATATAGGGGTGGGGGTGGATGGCCAAATAGTTAGCACAATCATGCGTGTTGCATCATAAGATCTGTCATTGAGTCAACTGGCATGGTTTCGATTCCCCGGTTGTATGTGACAAGGAGAGGGGTCAAGGTCACCTGTCCAACCTTGTGGGTTTTCTTCCGGGTCCTCCAGTTTTGTAATCTTCCCACTGCTAAAGACCCCTACACGCAAGCGAATTACTGTGATGAGTGGACGTTATACCCCATTTATCTCTCTCTCTCACATTAAATATAATTTGGTAACAATCCTGTAGATGCATATTTAGTAACTGGATAGAGCAATAAACTATAACACTTCTTAAAAATACCTTATGCAAGAGCTAAATTTGGCTATTGCAGGTCTTTCTTTAGGCCTGAAATGTTATATAAACTATTAATTAGACATTTATTAACAAAACAAGACCATAATCAACTCTCTATGGCATCGGATAATCAAGATTTTAACTGGATTAGAACGGTTCACCATTTAAAAATTTAATTTAAAAATGTGAAGGAGAGTCTCGAATATACCACAAAACTACAGGCTGTGATAACTTGACTCAGAATGAAGTAATTTGAAAGAAATTTTCAATATTTTTATTTAACACTATCTATTTTTGAGCTATTATGGCAAGAATGGTCAACTCTTTATCTAATCTTACATAATGTATCTCTAAGAAGAACAATTACTGATTTGTTTAGGCGACCAGAAACATACTGCAATTCTTCGAAGAATGTACTGTAAAAACCATCAGTGTATAGTTTGTAATATGGGGAAATCTGAACATTTACCCTCTTTAATGTACATTTACATCCTAATTCTAATATTTAATTGTCCCCTGGCTGGCTGGCTGTCTATCACATTTGTTGGGACACAATAATTCTCCTTACAATTGAGCTAGAATGTTCAAACTTGGTGTAGGTGTTTTTATTAGGTGAATGCCTTGATGGAGTTTGAAGATGAGCATTTTCTGCTTAGGGTAAGCAGAGATTCGTTGATGATTTGGGACACGATAACTTTGGTTGTAATCAAGTGAGAGTGATGAAACTTGGTGTATAGTTTCATTACATCAATATCTTGGCTAAGTTCGATAATGAGCATTTTCTACAATTTGCTTTTAATTAAGGCAGAATGATTAAACTAGGTGTAAATGTTTATTAGATGAATGTCTTGACTGAGTTAGATGATTAACATTTTCCACTAAAGTTAAGCAAAGCTAAGCCATTTCATTGGTTGATGCTTTGAGACAAGATAATGTTTGATTCTAACTTATGGAGAGTAGGATGATACTATTACTTAGTGTAGAGATTCAATGTCAGGTGCTTCAAAATCTTGATTGCATTCGATCATTAAGATTTTCTGGTAAGACTAAGAATAGATAATTAGTATGATTGCTTGATACTTTTAAAAAAAATAAATGTGCAATTAATTAATCAATTTGTGTCATCTATTTATTTTGGGATTGCAGCAGAGGACATCAGCCTAACTGTTGGCGGGTTGAAAATAGATTATGCACAGATGAGACACATTAAATACATCAATGGGATTATGTCCAATTCTAGGGCCTGTCCATATCACTGTTTCTTAGTCTTAGTGTTTATTAGACCATTTTGGCATTTAAGGCGACAGTAATAATAAACAGCTTGACAGGATCAACTTGATCAAGTGGGTTTTTTGGTCTTTTTTTAAAAAAAATATTACCAGTGTGAATAATGATTTTATCTCTAAATTCCTGTGATGGATATGCTGTTTCGACAACCAGAAGACAAATGGCCATGCATTCTACTACAGTTATGACTGAGAGACCTTGATAAACCAATACGATTCCATGCAGAAATCCGTAAAATTATATTCATGGGTTGCTTCCCCTTAATAGTTCTTTTGTAGTGAAAAAGCACGAAGTCGTAGCCGGAAGTAGGTAAATTTCTTCAAAATTATTTTGTATTTTTGGCAAGCCAGAGTACTTTCTAAAATATCCGTCGTACGTAAATTGTAAACTTATGTAAAATAAGATCGATTATATACCACCATTTAAATTGAAGTATTGAAAGATACGTAACAAAAAACGAATGAACCGCATTCCAAATGCACAGGCAGGCGGGTTCAAACATTTCTATGGGCTCAACTACACTTTACCTTCCTTACGGATCGTTGATTAGTTTAGGACAAGATTCAGAATGTGTGCACACAAGTCGACATGGTTATGGATGAGCCATACCGAAAACTCTGAAAACTCGTAATTTTATTTCCGAGTTTTAGTTTTTGACTCTGTTTTACCAACAAGTCAGGGGAAAAAAATCTGAGTTTTCAGCACAGGACTAAAACTTGGAACAAATGATACTGAGAAATCCGACTTTCCATTTTGTTTAAAGTAAATTAAAGTAGCTAAGTCTCTAACTCAATAATATGTAACAGGCATTGCCTGAGTAGAGCGAAGCTGATTATTGTTTTTAAAAAAAGAACAAAAAAGTGTGAGAATTATTTTCATTGACGTAAAAAATATGTGACGTCATTGATTAGACGCGTCATAGAAATAGTTCTATGAGGCGCGTAATCTCGCTTGGGCGAGATTTGGTGGATAGAATTATTTTTGTTAGTAACGTGATCTTGCTTGGGTGAGATTTGGTAAGTTGACATGCGCATTGCCTGTTTTGCCCAGTGTATCCGGTTCCGGCTGAATTTTTTTTTAATCAACAGTCTGTGGGTGACATTTTCAATTACGCTCCTGTGTTACCGGAAAAGAGCTTTGCTCAAGCACCGCTCTATATAATTCAAAATCTTTGACATTGAAAACACAAATTATTTGTCAATTTAAATTAACATTGATGTTGTGATCTTGCAGGGAAAAGATTGGTATCTGATATCTAATATTTAAGACAAAATAAACACTATCAGTGTAGACTGGAATAACCAGACGCTAGAGATTGCCATTTGATTGAGACTTCTGGCGTATTTCGCGGAACATAACTGATTTAAAATCAGAGTAAAAACGGAAACAATTGATGTAAATCAGTTTATATACATTCATAATGCATCATTATGCGTTGGGACCCATTTTCTTTGACACCTAGAAATGGACACAAATGTGTCGCATCGCATAATGTATTATGAATGTATATAAACAGATTTACATTCAATTGTTTCTGTTTTTACTGTAATTAATTTCTAATCTTTTATGTTTGCCGAAATATGCAGAGAGACCAAATTGAATGGCAGTCGTTGGTGTCTGGTTATTCCAGTGTACACCGCTAGTATTCACTGCATTGATTACCATATCATATTCTGTTCTTTTCGGTAATATTAAGCATTTTTCTAAATGGAATTTCATTAATGGTGCACAAATATCTAAGACTTCAGTTTAAGAAATCAAAATTTCTACATTCGGTTACATACACACCAATGTTTTCTTTTAGCCAATTTTTATTTGAAGGTCACAGTGGATATCTAAGCTATACTATATGTCGAGACAAATATTCTGTATAGCTGTTTTCCAATATACATGTACATGTACATAAGCGTCTGTAATACATTCTTGATGACCTGTTTTATAAAACGATAAGGTCAATTAAAATAGTTCCTTTTTAATAAGAAATAAATTACTTTTAATAAAAAATGAATTGTTCTTTGAAAAACAAAAAAGTAGTTCCTTTGTGATTGATCAATCAAATTCATGTAAAGCAATATCTCCTGTAAAACATTGAGTCAAACCCTTAAGAACTGAACTGATAAAACTTGGGAAATATTTTTCGGGATTTCTGAGTTTTCGATATGGGCATGGTTATGGACATATACTGTATTTTACAAAAACAGATAGCAGAATCCGTGCCCTAAATGTTCAAACCCCTATTACTTAAATTTATATGAACTCTAGCAACATTCCTTAAGAGTAACATCAGAGTATTCTGATTTGCCTCTTCTGGTAGTATAAGATAGCTTGTTTAATAAAGGGGATGGTCAATTCAACTGGGACAATTTCACCCTGTACTGCAAGTTTGGGAATTGATATATTCAGAAAATTTCTATATTTAATTATCTGTACTGATATAATGGAAATTTTCAGTATTTCATTATTTGTAATTTAGAAAAAAAATAAAATAACATAGGTCAGATCTCACAATTCAGAAATTTCTGAGTATGGCACACTGTATAATATGCACAAATCTCACAATTCAGAAATTTCTGAATTGTGGTATTTGTGCATATTATACAAAATGCCAAATTCTGAAATTTCTTAACTTTGAGCTTTGTGTATATTATAGATGGCCAAATGGTTAGCACGTACACGCTGTATCACAAGGCCTGTATAATATGCACAAATCTCACAATTCAGAAATTTCTGAATTGTGGTATTTGTGCATATTATACAAAATGCCAAATTCAGAAATTTCTGAACTTTGAGCTTTGTGTATATTATAGATGGCCAAATGGTTAGCACATACGCGCTGTATCACAAGGTCTGTCATTGAGTCAGCTGGCATGGTTTCGATTTCACGGTTGTACCTGACTAGGAGTAGGGTCGCCTCTTCAACCTTGTGGGTTTTCTCCAGGTCCTCTGGTTTCCTCCCACTGCTAAAGACCCCTACGTGCAAGTGAATTATTGAAATAAAAATTGAACTGTGTGTTAGTCCCAAAATGACCTAGTTTGTGTCAAGTGGAGTTAAACCCCATCTCTCTCTCTATCTTGCAGTGGGGCCAGTTTAATTAACTACTACAATATAACAATTCTGATAAAGTTAAAGGCATTAAATCTATGTGAGTAAGAAAATGAGGTATTCTAAAATGTGTCAGGGGCCTTGAACCATGAAACTACATGTAAATGTACAGCTATTTAGAGGCTGATCCCATTCTTATTGACAAATATTTTATGTTTTTGATAAGTTACTTTCATTTTTAACATATGTGAATAAAAGGGGGTTCTTATATGTGTATTGAATAAAAATTGAACATGATTTTTTACTTAATATCTAAATTTCATAATTTTTGATACAACAGCATAGTTTAAGTGGGGAAACCACTAGAGGTTTGTTGTTATGATATTCTGCTTAAATAAACATTTAAAATCAATATAATATATATCCTACATTTCAGATAACTGGTTGGGTATTGAAGTATGGGGCGTTCCAATAAGAATGCTGATAAAGCAGAAAAGCTAAAGATTCTTTTGCAAGCATATGTTAAGATAATTCCTTGTCGGAAAGTGACTGTTGAAACTTTATCAAGAGATGGAAATGTCTTATCGACACAGAAAAAGGAGGCAAGTATTTTGGTAGTAAATTGAAAAGAAATAGATTATATTTAAATATTAAATAAATAGTGTTGTATGAAGTGCTCTTTCTATAAAGATATTGAATTTCAAATTTAAATACTTTGTGATTCTTTGTTTAACATTCAACAATTGTCTGTCAAATATTTATTTTCAAATTATCTTATAAAAATTTAAATCAAGTTTGACTTACAGTAGCTTTATTCAAGATAGATTATGGGAGATTAAAAAACTGGCAGTTCTCACTATAATAGTTAAAAACTAGTTAATGTAAAGGCAATTTGCTGAAAATTTCAGTCAAATTGATCCAATCTGAACCAAGATTTTTGCAATTGAATTTTCGGCGTAGCCTCGATCACCATTACTAAAGTCGGTATGATAAAAACCATAGTCTCGATTATCTATTTCATGATTAAATCATGAATGAAAGTTGAGCAGCAAATGGGATCCTAATCCAGTAAATATCGCTGGCTAGCGTTGACATCGAGAGTTGATTATGGTCTGGATAGGTTAATTAATGTCTAATTAATAAGTTAAATAAGATTTCAGGCCTAAAGAAAGACCTGCAATAGGCAGATTTAGCTCTTGCATAATGTATGTTTAAGACCTCTGCATACAATGCTTAGTCTCTTAACTCTAATATGAAGCTTATGGTTGACAACACTTTGTTGTGTTACTCCTACCCATGGTAGGGTGACCCACCATAAATAAATATCTCCATATATCTCGACAATTTCGCCACAATATTTATATATATGCCAAGCCTCAAATCAGTTTCACACAATTATAGTTACTAAATAAACGATCATGTTGTACTTAATAAGCTATGACCATTAATCATCTATAAATAATAGACTGAAAACTGGTTCCATGTGTCGTCCATAACATCCAGACACTCTTGAGTAAAAAATAGGTTACGTGCCCTTGTTTTGAAATTAGTCTCGCTTAACCAGTCTATCGACCATTCAAGGGCTGATTGACCGGTCGGGATAATCAAGACTACTTTTTTACGAAACATAACAGAAAGCTAGAACAAGAAATTGAATTTAGAAATGAGCACGTTAGCTAGCTCAACAATTGTTTTAAGAAGCTTGTAAAAGTAAAATGAAACTACTGCTAGTATCATGTTCCTGTCTAACCCGAGTGCTTCAGAGATATTATTTGTACTAAACCAAAAGATGCTGCTCTGAACGGTACAGTTAATGATAAAGCGATTTAAAAAATGAAACGAACGTAATTTCTAAATCTGCTGTAATAACCAAGAAGCTTAATTTTACTGCTATTCAAAATCGTCAACAATAAATTTTTTACGGCTGTAATAGTTGATAGATTTGTAGAGAATTGCACGTGCCATGGCTATTTATAGTATCATACTGTCAGAAAGTTGGCCTCGACACGGCGAATGTGCACGCTTCAGTGGTAGTCTCGAACTATCAGCGGTTGACTGTATTTCTGTAGGTGCATGGGCCACCCTACCCATGGAGACATTTTTCCAGTAAAAATGTTAAAGCCTATAATTATTTCATTACAAAATTGGATACATATATTGCCTTAATCCCTGACTTTATAAATTTATAATATTTTTATTTTCCAGAACTGTAATGAGCCAGTAATTTTAAATATCTCTGAACAAGAAATTTTTTCAAATGATGTACAAGATTTCACTGTTATTGAAAATGACAGTCTAATTGCAGAGAGTTTGTTCCAACAATATCAAATATTTACCACAAAAGTCAGTGTTAAGTGTCCATGCATTGAAAAAAATGCGAACTCTGAAAAATCATCTTCTAGTTTTGATAAAATTGTAAAGGATTTTTTGAGTGATTCTAATGTAATTAAAACAACCACAAAATCAGTTGATGCAGATATCACAGTAGAAATATATAAAAACTCTGAAGAAAATCTCCCAACAGATCTAATTCATGACCTAGACCAAACTATACAGACAGAATCAAATCTGACAGAGTCAGGCAATACACCATGGTCTAATGAAATGGATTTTGGTATTCAAAATGATATTTTGGGTATTGATAGAACAGAAGTTAAAGATAATGAAAATAACAATGCTGAAAAAAGTGATACAACAATGCCTATACCTAATAATACTTCAGATACTACAACTTTTATACCAGACCTTACTAAAGCTACCACAATTACATTACCAAACCTTAATTCAAACTTGGAATCCGAAATGAATTCAACCAAACTCCCATCTGCTACAACTGATGCCCCGGTGAAAGAAACTCAAAAAGATAGACAACTTTCTAAATCTGAACCAGTGGACGAAGCTCAATGCGAAAAAGATACAGAGCTTATTTCGCCAGTACGGCGGACAAGCAGACGTCCATCCAGCAACAAGTTTAATTTGGCTGTGAAGGCTTTAAAACCAAAATCGTCAAGGAAACCAGTTAAAGAGAGTAAAAAAGAAACTTCACAAAAATCAACTGAGAAGAAAAAAATTTCAATTGAGATAAAGCCTATCAAAACCAGATCTTCATCCAGACTGAATTTGTTAAGTGATGAAAATATTTCACAAACCACTCAAGATCCTAAAAGTCCTTTAAACGAGACATTAGATAAGACGAGTGAAGAATCCGTAACACAAGACACTTTATGTACCAATCCTTATGTTGAGGATCAAACATCCATGTCCATAGATGAAGAGATAAAATTGATCCAAAATTCCCCAATAGAAGATACGCAAAATGTTGATACTAGTAACAGCACTATAAGGGATGCTGATAAATGTATAGATAATAGAGAAGTAAATAAAGGAGAGAAAAGAAAAAGAAAGGCAAGTGACATGACCATCATAAAATCTGAGCCAAATGACAATATTGAGAATGTGGTAGAAGATGATGAAGAATTTTCCTTAGATGCTTTTACAAAGAAAGGAAGAAAAAGGAAACAACAGACTGCCAAAATGTTGATAAAGACGGAGAAATTAACAAACACCCCATCTCCTTTCCGAACTCTAGAGACAACTTGTAAAATATGTAATAAAACCTTGGCCAAGGGTGGACTTACCAAGCACATGCAGCATCACCAACATAAAGGCTTCGAAAAGAAAGAAAAACTAACATGTTCATTTTGTAATCGACAATTTAAATATCAGTATGCCTTAGATTGTCACTATCAAACCCATAACGGAGAAACAAAAGATGGTAAATTTCAGTGTGAAGTGTGCAGTAAAGTGTATGCTAATAAAAGTGCCTTGTTTAAACATAGACGACAGGGACCATGTTCAACACAATATAAATGTGACACATGTGGTGTATCATTCTCTGGTGAGAAAAGTTTACAGTTTCACATCAACCAAGAACATAAATCTATGTCAAACTGTCCACCTCATTTGAAATGTTCCCACTGTGGTAAAATGTTTGTGACACAAGGCGGGTTGAAGAAACACGAGAGTCTCAATCAGTGTAAAACTGATCTTCAATGTCATCTGTGTAAGAAACGATTTGCAAAAGTAATTTACTTTGAAAGACACATGTTAAAACATGAAGAGTTTGCGCCTAAAACATTTCAATGTGATTTGTGTGGGAGTTTCCTAGGCTCTATATATTCTCTTCACAAGCACATGTATCGCCATAAAAAGATTAAAAATGCAACGTGTTCTCTGTGTAACAAATCTTTCTTTGATCCGTCTGCCTTGAAAGTTCATATGCGAAGTCATAATAAAGAAAAACCATACATTTGTGATGTTTGCGGTCAATCTTTCACCCAGTCTGGTCATTTATGCCGTCACAAACTCCTAGCACATCAAATAGGCAAGTTCCCTTTCACATGTACAATTTGTAGCAAAGGCTTTGTGGATAAAAGAAATATTGAAAGCCATTATAAAACACATGAGAAGCGGCACCTTAGAGAGGAACTGAAAAAAATGAAATCTAAAAAAGAAAAGAAACCAAAAGTTGAACCTATAGAAGAAGTGACAGAGTCGAATGTTATTCATATTGAAACTGAATATGATATATCTGATTTATTAAATGCACATATGACACAAACTAATGCTGATGGTAGTCAAACTATTATATCATCTTCCAATAACCTCCAATCTATAGAACAAATTTTACAGGCGGCCAGCGGAAATCCTTCTTCTATAGAGTATATTAGTACACAAGAGATTGAGGAAAATCAGGTCTACGATGAGCATCAGACTATCATTAATATTGGAGATTTAAAAGTAGAAAATGCTGTTAATGAGAATATTGTGTATACTATTGATGATAATATAGGTGCTGTTGAGTCAATACCAGCTTCAGATTTAGGTATTTTAGCAGAGACTGCTCAACAATTCCAGGGAACAGAAGGAATTACTTACTACATAATCAAGAAATAGTGATGGTCTAGCTTTGTTTGGATTGATATATTATATATGTATTTGCATGAACGGAATAACAATTAATCCTTACTTATTTACACCCTAAAAAACACATATTTATTGTTACACTGAAATTTTGTATTATTAACATGCAATAATTGTACTAATTGTAGGTACATTCATCATACTGATATTGCTGTGACAATTTGTTTATTGAAATTTTGAAATATTGTACATTTTTGCATAATTAAAATGACTATATTTCTTTGTTGGTCCCATTTTGTGAATTTCACTGGATTGATATGTTGAATTGTTTTGTAGAATTCCACTATCAATATCTCATCAACCCAATTTAAAGTAGCTAAGTCTTGAACTCGATATCATCCATAGTCTTCAACATTGAAAACACAAATTATTTTGTCAATTTTAATCAACATTGATGTTGTGATCTTACCGGGAAAATGTGTTTCAGCGCCATTTGAAACCAGGGACTTGAAGAACAAGGCTAGACATATCGTACAAGTCCTGTCAAACTGTGAAGCCATATTCTTATCTGGAGAGCATGCACAATAAATACTACCGGTGTAGACTTGAATAGCCAGACGCTAGAGATGGTCAATCGATTGAGACATCTCGCGTATTTTGCCGGACATAACTGATTTGAAATTAGAGTAAAAATGGAAACGATTGAATATAAATCAGTTTATATATATTCATATTACATTATTATATGCGTTGCAACCCATTTGTGTCAATTTCTAGGTCCCAAATATCTGGAGAGCATGCACAATAAATACTACCGGTGTAGACTTGAATAGCCAGACGCTAGAGATGGTCAATCGATTGAGACATCTCGCGTATTTTGCCGAACATAACTGATTTGAAATTAGAGTAAAAATGGAAACGATTGAATATAAATCAGTTTATATATATTCATATTACATTATTATATGCGTTGCCACCCATTTGTGTCAATTTCTAGGTCCCAAATATAAGCAATTTAGCTCCTTTAATACTTATTTCTTGGCAGATATTTCCCTTTTTTATACGCCCATGCGTAGAATTGTGATCAACCTTTCCGCCCGTTCACATTTTGCTCAAGGCTTACTCTACAGGTTACATTCTTTGTGGATTATTTTTTTTTATTTTGTGTGTTTATCATTATGAAGATGACCCCTTTCGAATTTGGTAAAAATTGATCATTTTTATCCGAAATATCAACACAGACTTATTCATATCATGATAATCGCATTTTTTGCAAACTCATGCTCTCTCTACACTGTAGAGCAATCTGATTAAAACACAGATCCTATTTTGTTTTGTTTTTTATAGTTCAAAATTTAGTTTTACTTGTATTTACTACACTAGGATCTTGAAGAGTTGTTATATTATTGATGTTTTGGTTGAAGGGAGGGATAAGCCAATGAAACAGTCTGTTATGGCGACTTCTTGGTGTGCCATGCACGGAACAGTGGGTAAACCACTAGAAACGCCAACGCTGATTGATTAATCAATGTCTGACGTCATAGGGTCAAAAGCCGGTCATGGGACTCCTGACACGACCTTCGAGTGCAACTTGTCACATCTTCATGTTGTGTAGGCCATCGAAATGACCGCCCCTTGTACGCAATAGTGTAAAATATGGTATACCAAGGTTGTGGGTCCTCAAGAGGTCACAATTTTCATCCGAATTTGATGAAACTTGGAATGCATGTATATATTCCAAAGATCTTGGTTCATTTCGATATTCGCGCATATCGGATCGTAACTTCCTGAATTATGACCCCTGATTGTACGAAAAATCGCGCTTTTAGCTTGTGGTCCCTCTAGAGGTCACAAAAAACTGTCGGACAAAATGGCCGCCCCTTGTAGTACGCAAATAGTGTAAATATCTGGTATATCAAGGTTGTGGACCTCCTAGAGGTCACAAATTTTGATCCGATTTTGATGAAACTTGAAATGCATGTATATAACCCAAAGATCTCGGTTCCTGTCGATATTCGTGCATATCGGATCGTAACTTCCAGAATTATGGCCCGTAATTGTACGAAAAGTCGTGTTTTGAGCTTGTGGTCCCTATAGAGGTCACAATTTTTATCCGATTAAAAAAAAAACGCGTGAATATATCACAGTTATACACTAATGATGGTTGATTTTAAATTTCGTGAAAATCGGACAAAAACTGGCGGACATAATGGTCGCCCCTTGTACGTAAATAGTGTAAAAAATATGGTATATCAAGGTTGTGGACCCTCTAGAGGCCACAGTTTTTATCCGGTTTGGATGAAACTTTAAATATACATGTATGTTTTTATCATAAAAATCTTGGTTCCTTTTGATAATCACACATATCCGAACGTAACTTCCCGGATTATGGCCCCTGATTGGTTGAAAAAAATCGCATTTTCAGCTTGTTGGATTCTCTAAGAGGTCACAATATTTTTTCCGATTTTAAAAACTGTTTAGATATATATCCCCATTCCACCATGTTAAAGGTTGAATTGAAATTTCGGGATAATCGAAAAATTTCCCGACAAAATGGCGCTCTTTGTACGCAAATTGTGTATTAAGTATGTAATACAAAGGTTATGGACCCTCTAGAGGTCACAAGTTTTATATAATTTTGATGAAACTTAAAACATACCTTTATATTCCAAAAATCTCAGTCCCTTTTGATATTTGCACATTTCAGACCATAAAATTCTGGATTATTGCCCCTGATTGTACAAAAAATCTTTCTTGTTTTTAGCTTGTTCTCTATCCATCTCTTGCAAAATATGGGCATATCTTGCCTGGCAGCCGCTGGTTACACAGTGTTAAGGCTATGAGTCGAAGAAACCTATTGCTTTTCTGATAATTACTGCTAGAGTTAGACCCTTGATCACTTTGAAAATCTTGTAGACGCTCTAGAGGCTAAAGTTAGGCTACTATCCAATTGAGTTTAATTTATACGGTGTTTAAGGTCATGAGACGAAGACTCCTATTGATTTTTAACGATTTCCGATAATTACTGCCAGAATTATGACCCTTGATCACTTTGAAAAATCTTGCAGACGCTCTAGAGGCTAAAGTTATTATCTGTATACACACGTCACAATTCTATGGAATACAATTACTGCTTATTACTGAGCGACGTTTCGACTAGGCTTCTCTAGTCATTATCAAGCAATGATAAAATATAAAATACAACGAGGCAAGAAGAGCCTACATATCAAAGTTAGGTTCCTTCAAGGTAATTAAGGGTGTCTTTGGTTGGCCAGCATTAACCAAGTGTTGTTATTTTACATGTTTATATTGTCTCGTATGTTATATTTTATCATTGCTTGATAATGACTCGAGAAGCCTAGTCGTAATAAGCAGTAATTGTATTCCATAGAATTGTGACCTGTATATTCCAGTTCAATTACTAAATGCCATTGAAACAATTCAATGCAATTTAATATTATCTGATTGACTTTGAATTGATCACTTTGAAAAATCTTGTGGATGCTTTAGAGACCATAGTTATAATCTGTTTGATTTTATATTTATACCCCGTGTTTACGCCTATATATAATCGTTTCAATTGACTTTAGATTGATAGATGGAGTTTAACGTCTTGAGACGAACAAGTATATTGATTATCGATGATTTTTGATAACTTGAACCGCTAAATCCATGATATTAAATGTTTTGTATATTAAACCTTAGCATGGGCCAAACAAATTCTAATGAGTTTATGATAATTGCTGAATGAGTCGTTACTCTTAATCAGATTTTAGTGTATTATAAATGTTTCATTACCGATAAAAGTACAAATATGCGACAGCTGTTATTGACTGCCCGGACGATTTAGCTGTTGTGGGCGTATGTTTCGTTTCCTGACAGTCTATCTATATTTTTGAAGTCGATATCATTATGAAGACGAGACCTATTGAATTGGATGAAGATCCGATACATTTGGATTAAAGCATTGGGGTCATGTCGTTCTCTGTGTTCTGTCCATCCAGAAGCCTGTGCGTCAACAATTTTCGCTTTGTCTGTGTATGCATCCATTTGTTCAATAATGTGCAAACACTAAAGTTTGTTTCAAATTATAGCGGCTTTGTGGGCTATTTCCACGCATTGCGTGGCTATCTTTTAAGGCCCCAAAAAGAAACCAATTAAATTTCAGCAATTTTTGATAAGTACTTTTTAATTTTTTGCTCTTGAACACTTTGTAAAATCCAGAAGTTATCATTCGATCTGCTTGAAATTTATATGCTTTAGATTATCAATTCAAATAATTATATACGGTATTGATCGCGTAACCAAAATACAGTAATTTGTCAAACACAGCAGTCCAAATTGCAAGTAAAACGTGGATGCTGTCCAGATTTAAATAAAAAGCTGGCCGTTCTTGCTATTATTAGTGTTCGGCACGAATATTCGAATATTCGCTCGTCGAATATAATATTCGAATAGCAATTACCATATTCGAATATCTATTATTTATTCTATTTGCTCTCAAATATTATTAAAGGCGACTCCCCTTGCCACATTTACATTCAAAGCTTACTTAGATTACCTAACCGCAGCTTGTAAGGGTGCTACCCCAACATAGATCTACCGTCTTCAGAGACAGTCATTCTGTAAGTAGCTTGTTACCTACTTTGGTTAGCCAGTTAGTTCCGCGATGGAGTTGGCTGTCTTGACCATAGAGGTGTATATATTGACAATATATACACCTCCATGGTCTTGACTTATATCACATCAAGGCTAATCTTTGGAACCACTTGAAGTTGAAACATGGCGACGTAGCTCCAGATACTTCCTCTGCACGGGGGGTGGGATCAAGCAAGATTCGGCCAATTAAATAGTTCTACGCAAAGTTCTTCAGGCAACAGCAAGTAAGATTCAGCGCAGCAAAAAACATCACTGAGAAACTGATCAAGTTTGTAGCTAAGCATTATCAGCCCCTCTCTCTCTTATATTGACAATGACCATTTTCGGGAATTGGTAGAAGCCCTGAATCCATCCCACAATTTGCCGTCAAGTAAAACACTCAAAAAAAAAAAAGAATGGAAGAAATCTGACGAACGTCAAATCAGGAATGACCCAAGTCAGAAGTTAGCCGCTGTGACCACAGATGTATGGACAATAGATGAACAAAATGAGTCTTGCATTAATTTAACCGCTCATTTTGTATCAACAGTTTGGGAGATGGTGGCTAAGACCCTGGAAGTGTAATCATGTCAATGTAAACATACCTCGGATGAACTAAAAGAGCATCTGACGGAGATGGCAGA